ACTTTACTTCACATCCATGAGAGGTTTAAATAAAGTAGGACCTGAATGCCTTTAAGAGTTGGTGAAACTATGGGATCACAGAGATCTTAGTGAGTGGCACAACTGGCACAAGGGATGAGGGATGCCTCAGCGGACCCACAGAGGGCAAGAAGACAGACTATATGGGAGGATAAAGATACACCCCATAAATCTTACTCTTCTCATGCAGTCAATGATTTTCTTACCTTCTTCCCTTTTGGTGTGAATCTCGATTAGTTGGTCCCAGAGGCTGAAGCTAACAGCTTGTCCACGAGGGGCTAAGACTGAGCGTATTTCTACAGAACTAACCCTCTGGGTCCTTTTCACAATTTTGAAGTTTTCTATTAGATCAAGTCCTCATTATACATAAATATATTTCTAAAGTCTTTACCTCCTTAATTTATTTTATATTCCCTTTGGAATTTATATATTTTTTAATGTAATTTAACAGAATTAATGTTAGTTTTAAAAATCTGATTTGCTTTTTACAAAAGATATCTAAAAAGTTTCATATTTTTAAAATTACACATAAGGCAATCCTATCACTGCATGACATAAGAGGAAAGAGGAAATAAAAATAAGTATATACAATTATTAGAGCATTGGATCAAATAAATGGTTGGAAAATGACAGATAATTAAGGCCTAAAAAAATGTTTAAAACAGGTAATTAGCTAGATTATTTAATTAAAAAGTAAATACACAAAAATGTTTTCATACATGACTTAAAGGAACCAACAATTCTGCTTTACATATAGTTTGTTTGTAACTAAATGGGGTTTACTCCAAGTGTTTTAAGGAAGAGTATACCATAAGATTTAATTCGATACAGGCTCAAAACTATTAATGTAAACAAATGGTGTGTTTCTTTTTTTTAACGCAGGGAATTAAAAACAGATGATGGTCAAACTGCATCAGGATTAAAGCTTTTTATTAATATATTGCTTTTTGTTTATGTCAGTTCTGCATTATAGTTATAATTTCAAGTGTAAAAAATATAATCCATTGATCCCTAAAGGGAATAAAATATTATTGTAGCTCATATTCTTCAAGGATCTTTAAATATGTTATTAGATGTTCAGGGTTTTCTGTTATGTTTTATTTCTATAATGAACCTATGCTTGCAGCATTAACCCCAAAAACATCAGTACTATTTCCAAATCAGAACCAGACTTCTGCATTAGCTTGTATTTTCACATCTTCCATAATGGTTGAATACTTTAGTTTTTTCTGTTGACAGTAAGCGACTTTAGCATATCTAGATTTGTATGTTAGTTGTTTTGTCAGATCTTAGCTAACCTGTATAAGTAATCCTGGATATGACTAGATGATAGAAGCTAAACAAGTGAACCAGACCATTTTGAAGACTTTAAAACTGTAAACGCTAATTAGGCTGGTTGAGTCAGAGGACAACTTTTGCAAAAAAAAAACTTTTTTAAAGTCCTTTTTGGTGCAGAAAAACAAGGTTGAAAGCTAAAAGTAAAGCTTGTGCTCTTTTGTGGTTGGGATACTTCTGCTTTGCTTTCACTGCCTTCTAAGCATCAATTCAGCAAAGAAGTTGGTGTACAAATCACTAAACTGAATTTCCTTTGTTAATAAAGATTCATAAAATAATGCTGAAGTGAAAGTGATTTTAAAAGTGTTGTGTTTATGGCAATAAAAGTCTAATAAAACTCTTAGCTTCAGCCTCTATTAGCAGGAAAGTAGATTTAAGCTTTATAAAACAGAGGTATTAACTGTAGATAGCAATGCTTATAACCATAAACACAACCTCATTTCCAAAATCCTGAACTGACCCTTCAAGGTTAACAACCCAGAGGCTGTTCTCATTCTTTAGAACAAAGCAATAATGAGAAAGCTCAGAGCGAAACGAAAACTCTGTGCCCTGTCCAGATCTGAGCATCAAGCACTGCTTATCTGATAAACTACAGAAAATGAAGGCCCAGTTATGTCGCCAGGCAGACTTAAAATGTATTTTGACAAGTATAGATCATAATTTATTTAAAGCTTAATTAATAATAACGTTTATTTTGGGTTTTTTCAGGTGCAAACAGAACCTGTCTGTTAAACAGCCTCAGCTACACACATACCATATGCTTCACCTTACCCAGAATCCTTCTGGCGTCTCAACATGACAGAAGCTGAAACTCTTCAAAGCGATCAGTTGTACACAAAAAGCTTTTATAAACTTCTCCATAAGTCTTTTCTTTTCTGTCTGTAGATGGACTGACTGCAACCAAAACCCAAGAGGAGACAGGCCTTATTCTCCTCTCTCAAGTCATTTCAATCACCAGTCTACTCTACAAAGGAGACAGCCTGATGAGTGCACAGTGCTCATCTGCCTGCGCTGTTGTCTCTGTTTGCGCCTCATGAAAGGAAGCGGGCCTAACGATGCCAGAGGCGGAGGATCCGGCTCTGCAGTCTGAGCTGGGAAACATCAGCCGAAGCCGAGCGCCATTCTTTACAAGGAGATGTCCTTCAGTGTGGTGCCAACTCTCCCCAGGGCAGCAGCATGAGACGCAGCCTCTTATTTACCATATACAGGATCTCTCCGTGTCCTTAATGAGCCAGGATATTCTGCAGCAGAGAGACAAAGGCCACAGTTGCAATGGAGAAGCTGTGGCTTTGCTGAATTAAATAATGATAATTAAGAAAATATTAATCAAACTCCAGCTCTCTGGGCTCTGTGGATGTATTGAGGGGGAGCATCTTCAAGCTTAGCCTGTAGGAGTTCTCGTTTGGAGTATGCCTGTGACCCACAGAGCTGCAGGCAAACACTCACACACAACACAAAGAGATGCGCACAATTAAAAGCAGACCCTAGTGGCCTTCTAGTCTATAATTAAACACCCTTTGGTGCTCTGCTCTATAAAATACCAGCCGAGTTCAAATGTGTCAAAGAGAGAGTGGTGAAAGGAAATTTAAGAAGCTGTTGGTTTGCTACGTTGCAAGTTCTGTTCAGAGCAATGAATTAATAAAAAGCACAAACTAATACCTTCCCAGTGTGCAGTTGGTATGTCTGGCGGGGGCAACAGCAGCTATACAGCTGTACAAGTGAAAGTTTAATGCTGTTTCAAGCCTAAAGCCCTGCCCGGGCTTTGTTCCTTAGAGGTGAGGGTGAAATGGTGCTAAGATTTTTAGACAGAGAAAAACAATCTTCTAACCTCATAAAAACTCACAAAACTGATTTCAGACAAGGCAGAAAAGTTGGCAAATTCTGAAATGTATACATTTTTTTTTCACATTTTGGCATACAATTAAAGTCTATTATGTTAGTTCATATTTAACTTGACGCCATAATTTATATACACTTATATATATTTTAAAGGTTTTGCATTTAATTAGTTGCTAAATTAAAATTTCTAAACTTTCTAAAAATAAATAGAAATGTCGGTATAATACACAATTTTGAAATGTCTAAAGGTCAGTGATAACATAGATGGTTAGGAGCCAGTTGTAACGGAAACAAGAGATTGCCCACAGTGAATGTGTAAAAACTGGAGCGGAGGGAACACACCTGCCATCTTGGCTGTGTATGAAATAAAAATAGTTGGTTGCATATTTGCAACAATGGGCGTCAAGGGGTTAAATGGAAATTTAATGTCATAAACCAATAAACATAGTGAGTTAGTTTAAAGTGAATTTATGGTCAAATAAAACTGGAATGTGAAGGAAAACCAACATTTAACCTCTCATCAACAAAACCATTTCCTCTGTGACCCTTGGTTGTGGCAGCATTGTTTTATAGGTGTGGATGGACAAACAAGTAGGTCAGTTAGCTTAGCAGTAGGTGTACTTAAATAACAGACATTCCTGTCACAGGGTTCAGAAAGCTTACAGCACAGCTACATTGAAAAGATTTAGGTATGACAATAGTCAGGTTTTAAAATGGTCTAGTCCAAGTCTGGACCTAAACAGCTGCTGAGAATATGCTCCAAATTATGGAACTGCACACAATGTTTTTCTGCATCCTGATCTATATTAAAATGAGACCCTAAAAAGGTTAAAAAGTCTGTATAAATACCTTTGCAAAGTACTAAAAATGAAAATATTTTCCTGCAAAATAGTTAAATCGGTTTATTTGGCTTAAGTAACCATGTTTTACCAGTGTTTATCATAAGGTTGTAGCTGTTATGGTAATGTGAGGTAGTCCATCTCCTCCCCAGCATGCTCTGTGTTTGACATTCATGGGGTTAAAGTCCTCTGAATGATGAAGTGCCTGTGTTTGGGACGGTAAATTGCATCGTTTCAATTGAGAAGAGGGTTCCCTCTTGGGTTTGCTGGAGGTCCCCATGGGCTGGCCTTGAGGAGAACAGCATGTTGTACATCCATATAAAAAAAAGGGGGGGGGGGGGAATAGGGGTGGGGGTAAAAATATGGAGGACTTTTCTCTTTATGATGCAAAGATTAATCTGTCAACATGCTCCTGCATAAATCTCCATCCAGGCTTCACAAAATACTGTTTTATCTCACTTCGTGCTATATTTTATTTTTTATTGCCTATAAACACAAACCATCACAAAGGGCTAATGTTCTCCTCAATATTATTACAAAATGATCATAAATCCAACGTCTTGTTAAAACTTGAAGGCATATTTCCCCCTTAAGCTTTTCATTCATTGAAAATATTAGAAACATTCCTTATCAGGCCATTGCTCTCACAATAACTATAATCAGAGCTTCAGCACTTCACTTCCACTAAATTATTGCACTTTCCTTCCTATCCTTTCCTCATCTCTGTGTTCAGCAGTTCCCGTTTTTCCTTACGGGGTTATATTTTTTTCCTTATACTTCAGTAGAAATGCCTTGACAACAGTGTTTTTTTTTCTTATCCTGAGAGACCACAATCTAAACAGCAGAAACATGTTGTATAGACGCTTGTTTAGTGCTATGCAAATCATCCTTGCCAGGGGTAAAATTAACATTTTCAATTAAAATATTAGCACCAAACAAACACAGAAAAACACACTAATGATTAAATCATCCTCTTCCAGTCGGAGGCTGATACTCGACCACTGTTTAATCCTCAGAAAGACTCGTTTTCATATATTTTCTTTTACACATGGCAGCTGAAGGTTTAATATAACTGTTTAGTCATCTTGAGCATTCACAACGAAAAGTTAAATGTTTTAATTCGTTTTTGAATCAGAGTAAATATTAGATGACAAAGAAGTAAACAAGGATTGAAAGCAAACATGTATTTTGTGGTCAAATAATCATGGAAGTCTGTAAATATCTGTTATGTTTTGCAGATATAAAACTGTGAGGACCTGATAGGGAAGGATTCCTTTTGCGTAACCTTACCGCCCTCTAGTGGTCTGATATAAAAGCAGCATATTGGGAAGAAAAAAGGAAAGTTTAGCAATCCAGAAACAAAACTTTATTCATTTTCTGCTATAAAAATCATAAATAACACCTTTTTAAGTTTTAAGACAATATTTTCATGTCTTCTTCAATGCTGCGCCTTTAGGCCTGTGTAGTAATGCAACGCTGTAGGTCCATATTTCCAGTAAAAGCAGGTTAAAAACACCTGGATGTTGACAGGACATTTTTACTGATCTGGTCCGCAGAGGTTAAGCAGTATCTTCTGATAGTCTCCTTTGGTATGCTCCTGCAGAGAGGAAAGTAAAAGATAAGGGGACAGTATAGTGATAGAAAATGAAAATTAGCTGGAGGCTGCTTACGGTTATCGTCTGCTGCAGGGACTGCCCAAAGGTGGCCTTGTATTCAGAGCAGATCTTTTTCAGATCCACCTCACAGCGAGACACGATAATCCTGGTCACAATCTTCTCTTTGGCTCCTTTACTCTGAGCAGAAGAGAACAAGTCAGCACTAAAGTTCTACATACCTCTGATTTAAACTGCACAGCTGATGTAAGCCTACTGAAACAAGTTTTGCTAACTTTCGTGCTTTTTTCTTGCTTTTTTTTTGTCTACTGCAAAATATAAACTTTAGCAAAGTACATTTTTATGCCTTTTAAAGTGGTAGAAATTTAACATGCAGAAACAGAAAGTGCAGGAACCTTCATGGCTTCATTCAGCCTTTTCGCAAAGTAAAGCTGCTTGTTTTCAAAGCACTGAACTGGTAAAGGAAAATAAAACAGAATTAAGCAACAGTTATGCATGTTGTACTGTATTTTAAATATGTGTAGAGCTTTCATAAAACAAACTTAATTTAATAGTACCTAGTACGAGGAAAGACTTCTGTAGATCTCCTTTAACTTCCTTCTCAATACTCTCCTGCATGTCATAGGGGCTGTAACCCTTGTACTTGTCAAACACTACAATAGGAAAAAAATATTTTAATTGTAAATTTCCCCAATCTATTTCAGATAATCCAACAATGAGGTAAGGGGTTACCTTTCCGCAGGTGGGGGACACTCCTCTGGGACATAATAGAGATCCAAGTGTTCACATCGGTTCCTTTTATCTTCACTCCAGCATCATAAAGAGCCTGATCAGGAAAAACAACTTTGTTTACTGTCTGTGACCTAAAGTGCTTTTTAGGGCTTGCATCTTTAATTTTAATCATTAATTGTTTCTTTAAAGATTATAGAACGATAAAATAAAGTACTGAGATCTAAAGAGAGCTGAACTACAGTCTTGGATGTTTCTTCTCTTCCATCTTGCAGTTTTTTACTTTTTTATTGTTTCTTCTATATTCTGCGTTTCTCCATCCAAGTGTTCAGGGATTTCAGTCATTTTTGAAAAGGTGCTGTCTATTACAGGATATCTTATAATAGCTTTGTGTTAATCTATAACTGAGTTGAACCTTTTGTACAACCTTTAAATAAATATATTTTTTACCAATGTTCTTCATTCAGAACCTACTGGAAATTTAATGGATGATATCTACCAGCAGGAGGTCAACTCAGTTTGGTTTCCACTGATCTGATCAAGAATAATTTGCTCTCTTAAATGCTTCACAACAAATTTTAAAGGCTAATTGCTCACTTTAGCCACTGTTTTTTTTTAGTCTTGTTAGTTGCAGTTTTTTAACATTGCTCTGTTTCTTTTCTTTTTATTTCTAACTTAGAATTTTCAAGGTTTTACCTTCATATAATTTTCTTATTAATAACTACGCAGCTTTTTTCCTAAAAGAAGCGTGTGATTTTAATTTGTTCAGCTCAACTTTGATAGATTTTTTTTCCCCTTCTTAATATTCTGTATTGTGTTCTGTCTACTTGTTTCTGTCAGTCTAACATCCCAAACTTCCGAATGAAAAGCAATAAAGGTATTTTTTCCGCCTTTTTTCCTCTCATCTGAAACATCCGGCTCGACTAGGACGTAAAACAATAGAAAGCGTATAGGCAGAAGAAATGTAACAGTGCCACAAAAAAATGGTCATTAATGTACCTCCACTACGTTTTGCAGTGTGGACCAACGTAGTGGGGGTACATTTTCCCATGAGACTGGGTTGCAATACCAGTAATCATGTCTTTGTATCCTTATAATATTTGTAATCTGCCCACTAGAATGTTTGAATTTTATTTATTTTATTTTTTGCAGCCGTTTGGTCAATAAAATCAGTAATGAAATTAGAAAAATCTCCCATTTTCTCTTTAACAGTGTTTTTAGGCCAGAGCACATTCAGGTAAACACACAGACACTAAAAGTTATAACTGTTTTTATAATATGTAATAATAAATATGCAATAATTGTTGAGTGTTACTTACTCTGGCATCAGCATCTATTTTTTCATAGTCTACTACGGCACTGGGTTCATCTCTCTTGGTCTGTGCAGAAATTAAGCAGGATCTCTATTAGTTCTAGTTCAACTTTGTCCAACACAACTAAAACATGTACTTTGGACTCACCTCCACTAGAGCTAAAAGCAGCTTTGCAAAGTTTCCAGAGGTATCGCCTGCAACATCTTTTGCCAAGTCTTTCTTGAATACTGTAAAAAAGAAAATGGTAATTTCTGTTATAAGTCTCCATCTGTAATGTAAACATTCAAACCACTGATTCAGATGCTTTTTCTGGAAAACTTGGGATGTTTTTAACTCACGCTCTTTGTAGACCTTCTTGATTTCCACAAGCTCATCATTGCTGCGTGAGCATAACATTTCAATCAGAGTTTCTTCATCTGTTCCCAAACCCTAAAAACAGAAACAAAATCTTTTGAGGCAAAACAACACTCAGGTTTCAATTAGTTTCCACTTTGACTGAAATAAATGAAAAGTCATAGTTATGTTTGAACTGAATCCCTATTTATAAAACTAAATTAAAACCCAGTTATAAAAAAAATGGAGGTGCAGCTGAGGCATCTGGCCACTAGAGGATGTAATCATTCAGGGACAAATTCTGGCCTTTTACCTTGATTGATCCTCTGATCTCTGAGGCGTCATACTGGGATGTGCTCTTCATCAGTCCAAGGATGACGGTTTCCAGGGACCCGGATAAAGCTGCTTTCAGAGCTGTGATCATGTCCTAGAAACATAGAGGCACCGCTGCTTTATTCCCAATGTGTCTCTTACAGTTTGAAAAGAAAACACAGACTTTTTCACTCACAATCACAATCTTGGATTCTCTGTCTTGACGTATGGCGTACCTTCTTTGTCTTTCTTTCGTAGGCAAAAGCAATTTCCCTCCTTTGAGAATAAGTTCTCCTTGCAAGGACATCAATGATTGTCTGCTCATCCACTCCTAAAAGGAAGAGAAAGATAAAAAATAAAATCCTACAAATAGATTCTTATCTAATTTTTATTTTTTTGGGGGGGTGGGGGATAAATTAAAACCAAAGATCTGGAAAATATTGGAATTTCTAGTTTCATTTGGATGTGGCAGCTTTTAGTTTATTGGAATTAACAAAACTTTACAGCTAGAATCGACTTAATCAGCATCTTAAGTTAGGGGGGAGTGGCGGCCTAGTGGTTAGGGCATAGAGCTTGGAATATCCTGAGGTTCTGAGTTTGAGCCCCACTCCTACAGACTGCCACTCTGGGTCCCTGAGCAAGACCCTTATCCCCACACTGCTCCCCGTGGGCCCCACGATGGCAGGCCACTGCTACCCAAGGGGATGGGTTAAATGCAGAGAGTTTATTTCGTTTTACTCTGCACTTGTGACCGTGTAATGACAATAAAAGCTGGAACACAAAGCATCTACACTGCAAAAACTTTAAATAAGGCATTTTTCTTCAAATAAGTGCATTTTTTTCTTGAATTAAGGAAGTAAGTTATGCACTTTGCCAGTAGAATAAGACAATTTACATTTAAAATAAGAAAAAACTATTGAATTGTCTTATTTCAAGTGCATATTATCTAATTGTCTTGTTTTAAGAGTAAAAATACTCATTCCATTGGCAAATCATCTTATTTACCTACTCAAATTAAGGGTAAATACCCTTAGTTTAAGAAATTTCTACTTCTTTCTAGATCGTTTTTTGCTGTATGTATGACTGGATTATTCAGAGAGAGAGAGATTAAGATTTCATGAATACAGTATAAACAACCATGATATCATCTGAGGGCAAGCTTCGTGGCAAAGGGATAACCAATGAACACTAAGTTTCCTTTTATTTATAAACTCTACATTTTACTAAAGATTTAACAGACTGCTGGCTAAAGTATGAATGAAGATGTAGCTGATCTGTTAGATTCTCAATAGAAACCTCTGATCCAAAACAAACAAAAAAAGTGCAAAGTTTCAGAAAACGTCTCAGTTCTATGGATGCCGGTTGATGATGGGTAAACCAGAACTTTTTTTATTATGGGATATTTTTTGTTTTGATGTTGATGGGTTCTGGGGGAAAGTTTTTTCAAGCCTTTCATCTCATTGTCAAAAGATTAAAGTTCTCTCCTGCCAGGAAGCCACAAACAAAACTCATCTTCTACACAGACGGAAAGAAAACAGCTGAAAACCAGTTAGATGTTTCAACTGTTTAGAAGGGCCTACACCTTTCCAATCTATGCACAGTAGTCTTTGAATTGTTCCTGTTGGATCAAACTGAAGTTTGGACTTTTTACATAATTAGCTTATAATGCCTGGTTTTCAGAAAATAATGTGTTTTAGATTGGATGAAGAGTCCCCACCCCATCCAGAATAGGATGTTTTGCTTCTGGCACAGAATTGAGACATTTCTCCTTTTTTAGCCTGCTTTTATTTTTTTCTTTGAAAGCTTGGAATAACAAAGGATGAAATGATCTGAGGGCCTCATATGGTCCCTGTCAAATACAAAGCATTTTCCTGCTGTACTTTCCCCTTGCAGGTATCATTTTGAAATGGAAGACAGTGGATGTTAAAGAGCAGTGTGACTTCTGCCAATATCTCCAAACCAGCAGACAGAGGGAGCCCTGCCAGCTGTGAGGCACAGATGAGGAAAAGTTTCCAGGCTATTTTAACTAAAGCTGACTCACAAATACCAACTAGTCATCTGCAGAGGAGAAGGAAAAAAAGAACTGTTACACTCCAAGCTGTAGCTTACCTTTGGTTTTGATTGCAGTCTCTATTCTGGCAGCATCTCTGTCTGGGTCAAAGTCCTTGGCAGGTAGCAGAGTGGGGTACAGGGGTTCACTCTGTAATCAAAGGTAGATCATTCATTTAGAAATAATGCCATAATTTTTACATTCAGTTTTTGATTGTAAGACGGTTTGACATTACCCCAACGTTAAGAGTAAGCTGTCCCAGAAACTCCGAAACCAGAGCCATGTTGATATTCCTGAACAAAAAAAAAAAAAACTCATTAAGTTTGTGTGTAATCCTCCTATTGACTTTTCTAGCTTTACAAAAAAAAAAAAAAAGGGCATGTTTAGTTTAACTAAAGATAAAGGTTTGTGAGCTGGAAAGTAACGTCTTCTTAACAGTTGCACTGATGATCATGGAACATTTTTTTTTTAAATAAAACATAAAATCCTTTCTGTTTTTGACTTTCCCAGCATGTTCACATCATAGGTGTTTTTTTCTACCAACAGTGTGGTTAGCTATTTTAAGCCTCTGCCAACTTTACAATTTCATTACAGCAGCACCAGTGTGACCACACCCTGGAAACAATGCCTATGAACCATAGGAGAGCAAACTGAATCTGTTCACAGGAAAAACAGCCGTTAAAAGAAAATCTGAACAGAGCAAGATACCATTAACTTATACTAACAGATTATGAAAAGTTTGCTTGCGCACCGGGTTGAAATTATGTGCACAATCAAGCCCTTTCTAGTCCCTTAGAAAGTTAGGAAATCTCTGAAAATCTTTTAGCTGTGTTAAGTTAAATGTTAGCGTAAACATGTGAAGTAATTCAACAGTTATAGTAAAGATGTTTCCTGAAATACCTTTTTTGAAGTTGTTGAGATGATGCAGAGATTTGTTCCAGGAATGTTTGAGTGCAATGGGCTGTGAAGACTGAACTTTAGAGGCAGAGTGCTGCTTTCGCCGCCCCTTAAGTCACATGTCCTCCCTTACTTTGGCCTCAGGACTCCACCCTGTTTGTCTGTAAATACTTAGACAGCTTTAGGTCTTCAAGCTTTTTTCCCCCTATTAAAAAGGGTGGGGGAAATCTGCAAATCTGCACATTTAGGAGGTTTTCTCTTTATTTATAAATCCTGAACATTTCCAGAATTCACAATATTTATACAAAACTCATACAATATGAACATTTAATTTTATTACATAACTTTCTAACAAAATATACAGTTTCCAAAAAAATAAAATTTTACAACAGAGTTGCTTTGTCATTGCTATCTGGAAGTATATAACAGCAATCTTGTGCATGTCCATAGTAAATAGACTGGTTTACATGACAACAGATTTTAAACAGACTTCTGGACTTGCTTCTTGTTATATCGCTTATATTTGGCTGAAGGTTTTTTTTTCTTTCCCTTCTTCTGGGCATTTGGGTTCTTCTTCTGACCCGCTCTATTGTCATTAACTCCATCTGTCTGGAAAAGGTGAAAGAATAGGAGATTAGTGGTTTCATGCATTATAGTCTGAAACACCATCGTATATCAAGTCCGAAAATATGTAAAAAAAAAAAAAACTGGAATCAAATTCAGAATGGCTCAAGTGTCTGCAATAATAACCACGATAGTGTCTACCATGTCCATCTTGAAGTTGTGGTTTAACCAGTCTGATAAGATAACAGCTAAGATCCTTTTTACAACAACAGGTTTCTTCTTTCATGTTAGTTTTTCTTGGTTCATACAGTCACTGAGTGAGTGAGCTTTGACAGTCAAAGAGAGGTGTGGAGTTCTTAGGCATCCATTAAAAAACAAACATCAAAACAAGCTATTTCTTCACATTTTTCTGTTACTTGTCCAGCTAAAGCACCTTGCAATAAGGTTTTATAATCCTTGATTTTTTTGACATTTTATAACACTATAGTCACAATCCTTTTGGATCCAAACTTTATGTCAGCTCATTCATTTTTCAACAGCAATAAGGTACATTCCTTTCCCTGCATAAAACTAAATTGCTTTCCTGAAACAAGATAAAGTTAAATCTGAACATCACTAGTATAGAAAAAAAAAAGAAAAAAATTAGCTTAAGTCCAAATCCTTCCACCTGCAGCATTTAATCTGTCCCAAAATGCTGCAGATCATATCAGATCCAACAAAACAATGGCACTGTAGTGAGGAGTCCCTCTGGTCTGAAAGGTTCAATCCAAATATAACAAATGGGTAAGGAGTCTTTAGTCAAAGCAGAAATGCATCAGTGGTTGTCATGATAAGTACTGTCCAAATAGTGCTTGCAAATGGAAAGAGGTAGCTAAATAAATTTGAATGTTTCTTTTTATAATCCATTTAGCATAGAGCAGGGGTCTACAACGTTTTCCAGTCCAAGGACCCCAAACTGATGGAGAGACGGAGCAGGGACCCCCTGATTATATATATTGCATGAAACTGGTCTTATAGTCAATCTATTACAGATGGAGTAATGTAACTAAAGTAATCCCTCCCTGGGATTATTAAAGTATTTCTGATTCCTGGTTGATGTGACTGGTGTTGTGAGCTCCTGTGTGTCTCTGAATGTTTGCATTGATGACTGAAAGTGTGTTGAATTCATTTTAATGTGGATTTAAAGACATTTTAATAAGTGGAAAAAACTGCAGGGGGGAATATATAAAAAAAGTCTAATCAACCAAAACTTTGTCACCCCCCTGCAGTACCTCCGTGGACCCTCTAGGGGTCGCGGACCCCCTGTTGAAGACCTCCGGCATAGAAGGCTTGCTAGATCAATATCAGGTGCAAAGTAACTAGAAAGGGTACACCAATTCTTTGCATGACATCAAATCCTTTTCTTTATCCTGAAATAATATTATAGGCCCGGTTTCTTAAAAAATGAAATTAATAAACAACAAAACAGAATGCTTTCAAGAAGCGTCACATCAAATAATATTGTCAAAAAATAAAATAAAATAACCAAATCGTCACTAAGTGCTTTGTGGTCACCTTTTCTCATAATTAATTGTAAACCAAATTAATAGAGAAGCATGACTGTAAAACCAACGTATGAATGCAAATGTCATTTTTGGTTATTATAACATCCCCTATAAAAAAAGGTTTGTTACCACAAGTTTTCTCATATAATCACAATTGTATGTGCTATACCTAATATATGATATACCTAACTCTGTTTTATCTCCGTCATATCTGTTATGCACCTTGGTTATCATGGTGCAGTTATTTAGCTAGCTTTTATACCACAAAATAGGTATAATTAGCCTTTAGTCAACTAACTCATATCTTTACTTATAGATTGATAAAGAAGATCATAGAAAACTGAAGAGACATTAGCCACAGTAATGGGGATTTTTTTTTTTCTTTCCTCTCACATTTATGTGCTACTTTGTCCTTTAAACTTTTGCATAAAATCCAGGTTAAAAAATAAAATCATTAGATTTTCTCTTTGGGGAATTAAAAACCAATTACCCACCTTTTGAAATGTTTTTGGAGGAAATGTACAGGGAACTCTGCCATGTTGCTGGTGGAATGGAAGCACCACAGCTGGATCAACAGGTATCCAAGGCAGATAACACAAACTTGGTGGCTGGGGAACAGAGCTGTGGGCCTGTTGCAGGTTGTAAGCTCCTTGATTCCCTTTTTGACAGGTTGCTTTTAGCAGAGTCACAAATGGTTCTCTTGCTTTGTGCACAACCAGGTACTGACCTTCGTCCAACCTGAAGAACAAAGTGACATCAGCAACGGTGGTTTAGTGAGAGAGACATGTTGGAGCACCGCCCAGATTTTCTGTTTAGCTTTGTTTCTTGGATGAGTGATGACAGAATGTTGAGCAACCGATTGTGAAACTCTGGGGGGACAAGAAGGCATAGACCCATCATAGTCATGAGTTCTCCCTTAGGCTACAAGACTGTGTATGAAGTCCAAAGGTCTCAACAATTATTTTTTTCTTTGCTTCTAAAGGTAAAATTTATCTATGTTTCTTTTTTACTCTTGAACTTTATACACAATTTGGGCCATTTTCAGTGGCTGAATATAGAAAATGTTAATTCTAAAACCAAATTTCACAGTCTTGATAACCCAAGTGTTCTTTGAGTACACAGCAAGAACATGCTGTCATAGTCAGGAGGTAGGAGGGAAGCAGGGAAAAAGCAACCAAAGTTCAGAAAGGTTGAGAAAACTTGAAAAGCGTAGGTGGAAGTGTTGCTCTTTGGTAGCAAAGTACAAAAACTGAGATGTGGTTTGGAAGTCCAGCTCAGTTTATGCTGAAAGGAACTGCTAATAACCCACAATGTGAACCAATGACCTGAAAATCACTCACCCAGTTAACTTTTTCAAGAGGTGGTGCAGAATATTCAGGGATTTGGATGGTCTGCAGAGAGAAAAGGGGAAATTATCCATCCATCTACTTTGTGTTTGGATCCTAATTTCAACACAGAGATTAAAAACTTGAGGATGACAGCTGCATGTGATTCACCCACAAACCACAGCTCAATACTCTCCGGCTTACGTAATCAGCAGAACAGTGTCACAATCATCATCAATGTGGCAACAGAGATGAACAGAGGCGGGAGACGTGAACATTGCTCATTCTGCTGGCTGTGGTGCACCCAAATCCCTTCTCTGATTCAGTCACAGATCACACATTTTCCCCAGAGATTAGTGAACATACATGTTATGCAACTGTTGGTTCTAGTTGAAGTAATGTTTACACTAATATTATCTTACAGCTTGTAGACCAGCAGCTGTTTCTCTAGTTGTTTCTATTGAAATCTTTCCAGGATGAAATATCATTCCTGTTACTTTGGGTTACAATGTTTTTGGTACAAAATACAGATAAAAAAAAATCAGTTTCCCTGCATCCAAGAGCAACCTGCTGTTCTTAGATAATCCAGCAGGATTATAACTGCTATGAATCATCCTTTAGCATATATAACTCTTTGCCAAATTATTTACAATCAGTTTTAGTTTTTCTAACATTTGCAACAGAAACTTCATTCTATCCAATTAGGAAATTATGAATTAAACCGGTGCTTCTTAACTACTGGTTCCTTAGGGCCAATTGTCCTGCATGTTTTCTCTAAATAAATTCCAAAACAATCATTTGTTGCACTCTGATTTTAACTGTTTTATAAAAGTGCAGACCCTAAATTTAACGGGGCTAAAGCAGTTGACAGATGCTCTATTAAGCAGATTGCAAAGAGAAAAGTGGGCAATAATTTCAGTCTGAGGGATGTGTACCCCTTTTACTTTAAGAGTTTTGGTTGTTGTTTTACTTTGTAAACCATCAACACTTTGTCCTTATCTTTACAACGTTATATCTGTTAATCACATACAATTTCAATATGAAATTTTAAGCTTTTTTCACAGTTAGATGCATGTAAATAAAGACAGACTCTTAGCTATTTCCACCTAACGTTTATTAATGTTTGCACTGACTATATAATTTAACACTTCCTTATATATACCCAACATTAAAAATGTATTTAGTTAGGTTCTGGAAAGACCAGTGTAAGGCTTTCTGTGGAGCAGATAGAAATTAATCCTCACAGCGTTTGTTTCAAACATCTGATAAAAGAAACTGCTTTCTTTAGCAAACGTGCTTCTCAATTAGCATAGAAAGGCAACTGCTGTACAGATGCCATAGAAACTACCAGACTTTCGCCTGTTAAAAAAAACTACATTTCAAACCTTCAGGTCATAAGTAATGTAATCATCCTGAGTGGATTAGGGTAATCTAATCATGTCCACACATCTGCTTCAACAATACTCACTTGAACCCGCAGGAGATGTTCTGCATCCAGTCGTCAGGCAGCTTTCTCAGCAGAGCAACTTTTGATGTGTGTGCATTGATGTGAGCTACAGGGCCACACAGAGAGGGTGATACGATTACTGCGTGAACAGTGAGTGTCACTATCTACAACATCCCATAATTCGCTCACAAAGCATACAATCTAAAAGCTTTTGATCTTTCTTTTGTTTCCCTCAGACTCCAGCTGGTAAGTAGTTGGAATCCGTCACAATGCCCACATTTATTGAGTGTTTATAGAGCCTTAAACCACAGGCACAGATACACAGATGGGAATTGCCCCATGACAGGTCACATGATGAGCTAGCAACCACTAAGCAAAGAAGGGAGCCTTAATCTATCTGTTTATGTTGCACAATATCATTACCAGGGAGATGCTTTCCAGTATTTAATTCAGCTGAAATTTTATCCCTTTTTTTCCAGTTGCTTTATTGACATTATTTCTAAATCTAAAAAAAAACTAATTCTAATGTAACAAGCTATTATACAGGACTTTACCTATTCTATGAGAGAGTAACACTTTATGCATTTTTTTGCATAGTCTGTGGATAATGTTTTTTCATGCCAGCCATCTGAATAAGCTGCAAAGCTTGTAGTTTAGGACATCTTGGAAAAAAAAGAACAAAAAAAAAACAAAACGCCTTTCTCCTTCTGAGAGGACATTCCCAGACCACGCCCAACTAAGTCAACAGTAGAATGGAGGGAGTGGTTCTTCGGTTAAGATACAGCTAAGCAGGCTGCCCATATGAATTATGAATGTAAAAATACATCTTAGCTCTGCAAATTCCATCCTCTGTAATTGAAGACATAGCCGTAGCTATGGAAACAGGGTAAACTCCACAACAGCCTCAGCACTAAGATGAGTCATCAAATGACTATTCTGCTGGTCTGTGGGAGGATTCCTCTCCTGGTTACCAATGGCGACAGCCGTAGAGGGAAAACATTTATAAACATTACTTGTGAACCAAAATAATGTTTTTTTTTTACATGCTTTTACCAATGTAAGAAACTGTGCTGGAGTGAAGCGCTGTCTCTGTCCACAGCTGACACGCCTCGCTGCTGGTGAGGTATTCAACACCGTAAGAGAGCTGGTACTCCAACTTGGGTAAAACATGCACCGGCACAAACTGTTGGGAGAAAGCACAGCAGATATCATGGAACCTCTACACACACATTAACCCTATTACAATAAAAAATTATCTATTTATCTAAAACAGACAATGCATATTAGTCAACATGAGTATTTCCAGGTATCCTGTAAATGTACCAGATTTAGCTGTAATGTCAACATTCTGCCCTTTCTGGCTCTGTTTAAGTTTTCTTTTTGAAATTTCAGTTACACTTTGATGTATGTCATTCTGTGTTTACTGGGTCATTCTATAGTTTTCTAATTATATTTAAGCAGTGTTGTATTTTTTGAGTTTCTCTCTGTTGCCCCCTTGTGCCAGTCTCTTTTCCTCTAACTCCCTTCTAGTTGCATCTATCCACACCTACTCTCCATCAGCTGATTAGCCCATTCTTTATTCCATCTCCCATATATACACCTCCTGTGCAGTTCCTCATGGCTGGAATCTCTTCATGGTTGTGTTCGGTTTCAAAGGGCCTCATCCTCCAAGGACCCCGTCTATCTGGACTGAAAATAAGGAGCCTGGAAGAGTTTTGTCTATGTATTCAAACAGGTCCAGCCTTCTCCGACTTTCACCGCCTGTACACTCTGTCGCCTAGCAACTGTGACAGTTAACACACAAAGCAGGCAAAGAATGGGTACCGAAATTCTCACAACTGTTCTAGGTGCTATTAACATTTTTAAGGAGCTTTAGCAGCAGTACTGTTGACACAAATATCAGATTTATAGTCCACATTGCACAAATATTGGAATCTGTGCTAAAATGTCAGGCAAACCAATTTGCAGATGGATAGATAAAACCTTACAATAAACCAAACATTGCCCGACACATATCTGACTCAATAACCTTTTTAAAAAAAACTATTCTCATTAATTTCATACGGAACTATTCACATATTTATATTAAACTGCACTTATAATATTAACCACTATTATACACTCACGGGCCACTTTAATAGGTACACCTGTCCAACTGCTCGTTAACACTTAATTTCTAAGCAGCCAATCACATGGCGGCAACTCAGTGCACTTAGGTATGTAGACATGGTCAAGACAATCTCCTACAGTTCAAACCGAGCATCAGTATGGGGAAGAAAGGTGATTTGAGTGACTTTGAACGTGGCATGATTGTTGATGCCAGAAGGGCTGGTCTGAGTATTTCAGAAACTGCTGATCTACTGGGATTTTCATGCACAACCATCTCTAGTGTTTACAGAGAATGGTCCGAAAAGAAAAAACATCCAGTGAGCGACAGTTCTGTAGGCGGAAATGCCTTGTTGATGCCAGAGGTCAGAGGAGAATGGCCAGACTGGTTCGAGCTGATAGAAGGGCAACAGTGACTCAAATAACCACCCGTTACAACCAAGGTGGGCAGAAGAGCATCTCTGAACGCACAGTACCTCGAACTTTGAGGCAGATGGGCTACAGCAGCAGAAGACCACACCAGGTGCCACTCCTTTCAGCTAAGAACAGGAAACTCAGGCTACAATTTGCACAAGCTCATCGAAATTGGACAATAGAAGATTGGAAAAACGTTGCCTGGTCTGATGAGTCTTGATTTCTACTGCGACATTCGGATGGTAGGGTCAGAATTTGGCGTCTACAACATGAAAGCATGGATCCATCCTGCCTTGTATCAACGGTTCAGGCTGGTGGTGGTGGTGTCATGGTGTGGGGAATATTTTCTTGGCACTCTTTGGGCCCCTTGGTACCTATTGAGAATCGTTGCAACGCCACAGCCTACCTGAGTATTGTTGCTGACCATGTCCATCCCTTTATGACCACAATGTACCCAACTTCTGATGGCTACTTTCAGCAGGATAATGCGCCATGTCATAAAGCTGGAATCATCTCAGACTGGTTTCTTGAACATGACAATGAGTTCACTGCACTCAAATGGCCTCCACAGTCACCAGATCTCAATCCAATAGAGCATCTTTGGGATGTGGTGGAACGGGAGATTCGCATCATGGATGTGCAGCCGACAAATCTGCGGCAACTGTGTGATGCCATCATGTCAATATGGACCAAACTCCCCTGAGGAATGCTTCCAGCACCTTGTTGAATCTATGCCACGAAGAATTAAGGCAGTTCTGAGGGCAAAAGGGGGTCCAACCCGTTACTAGCATGGGGTACCTAATAAAGTGGCCGGTGAGTGTATATAAAAAATAGAATTGGAGGCAGATCTTTTAGTTAGTCCGTGAGGCATACACCCTGTCCACTTTTAAGGCTACACTTAAAACTTCACTTTTTTATAAAAACTTATAGTTAGAGTGGCTCAGGTTATCCTGAGCTATCTCTATAGTTATGCTGCTATAGGATACTGTATAGAGACCCCTTTCATCTTTTGCTTTTCTCCTATTTTGCAGTATTTGTTAGTTCAACCTCTAACTTTATGATGTCTCTGCTTTTTCTCATCATAGAAGCTTCATCTGGTCTGTTCCTGTTTGGCTGTGACACCAGAGAAATATCAGTTGTGCTGCTGCCATCGTTTGTCTATAGATCAGGGGTCTTCAACGTTTTCCAGGCCAAGGACCCCCAAACTGATGACAAGATGGAGCGGGGACCCCCTAATTATATATATTGTATGAAATTGTGTTATATCAACCTGGTCCTATAGTCACTCTATTACAGATGGAGTAATGTAAGGAAAGTAATTTCTCCCTGGGATTATTTAAGTATTTCTGATTCTGATTCCTGGTTGATGGGACAGGTGTTGTGAATGAAACGGTGCCGAGCTTGAAAGAGCTCCTGTGTGTCGTTGAATGTGTGCATTGATGACTGAAAGACATCTTCTGCCTCCATTTATCTGTTTACTACAGTGTGTTGAATTCATGTTAATGTGGATTTAAAGACATTTCAATTCAGGAGGGAATACAAAAAAAAAAAAAAAAATGAATCAACCAAAAGTTTCGCGACCCCCATGCAGTACCTCCGCGGACCCCCTAGGGGTCACGGACCCCCTGTTGAAGACCTCTGCTATAGATGTTGAATTTAGCCTGTTATTCAGTGTAGTCCTGTTTCTCTCAGTATTACCCCTTTCCCACTGGCCGAAAACCCCGTTTAACCTGGGAACTATCAGCTTTTAGTGGCAGTGGGAACAGCTCACTGATGCGTATCTACGACTCTGCAAGACACTTGGCCATGCAGCTTGCCAGCTACGGGTTAGACCCAGCTTTTATTGCCAATGGGAAGGGAGCCAAGTGCCGACTGTTAGCGAGTCGAACCATGATTGAAAAACATGCATTAACCCGCTATTTTCACAGAGAAAGAGGCTTGTGAGTAACTGCAAGTGCTCTCTTCCATCCTGAGACATGGGAGCTGGCTCAGAGCTCATCTGCCTGGATGCGTCTTTCCTGTCTGGGGCCGCCTGTGGAACTAGTTAACGGTGACCTTTTGTATCTCTGCTTCTTTTTTTATGTCTGCTTCTGTCTTCTTGAACCCCATTCAAGATTCAATTTCCTAAATCAAGTGTATTTACCCTAATTTGAGTAGGTAAATTAGATACTTTGCGAATGGAATGAGTATTCTACACTTAAAATAAGATAATTAGATAATGTGCACTTGAAATAAGACAATGCAATTGTGTTTTTTTATTTCATGTTTAAATTATTTTGTTCCATTTCCAAAATTTCTATTTTACCTCCTTAATCCAAGAACAAATGTACTTATTCTAAGAAAAAATCTAGTGCCGGTGGCTGCTCACACTGAGCCTGGTTCTGCTGGAGGTTTCTTCCTGTTAAATGCGAGTCTTTCTCCCCATTGTTGCTACAAGCTTGCTTGGTGTGACTGTTGAAGAGTCAATGAGTCGATGTAATCAACTAGTTTTCCTTAGATAGAAAACTTTGAACCAATCTGAGTGTATGATCTGGTTGGATTGTCTTCGTAAAGTACCTTGAGAGGACATGTGTTGTGAATTGGCGCTACCGGTATATTAGTAAATTAAATTGAATAAAATACTAAAAATAACCTACAATCTGTGGTTGCAAAATAAGAAAAGGCATTTTAGCCACTTTGGAAAACATGTGTCATTAATTCAATACCTGGTTCTGGATGTTGGCCACATTTCTTGAATGGGTCAGAGACACAGAGCTGCGCACCATCACCAAGAGGTCTTGTAGACTGTAGAGCTTGTACAGCAGATTCCCCTCCACTGGAGCCTCATAGTCTTGTTCATCTTCTGCACAAGACTGAAGGTTTTCTGAAAGTATTTCTAAATGTGATACATTACAAAAGCTGTTAGCGCATATAATTCCACAAATACTGCGTAAACCTACCAAAAGAAAGTGACACCAACTTTTGTGCTCTGTAGGGATGTTAGCAGATGCAGACTCAGAAGGAACCATAGGAAACTCGCCATCCTCATTCTGTTGTCTCTTCAAATACGAGGACACACATGGTTTAACCAGGGATGTTTGGTGTGTGTTCAGCTGGGGCTCCACACAGCGGCTGGGGGACTTAATAGGAGTAGTCGTTTCATTGCCGGATTTGAACATGGCTGTTTGCATGCGCAGGATCTCGCCCAGCTGATCCCCAGGTGCTTTTGCTTGTATGGTGGTTCGTTTAGACCTTGTCCTCTTAGAAGGCGGAGAGTAGCCTATCATTTCAAGGGTGGGCTTAACAGGAGATGTAATTAGGGGGTCTGTAGAGCTTTCTATATTAAGGGGCTTTAACTGGTTTGTTGGAGAAGCTAATACAGAGCCACTATCATCAATGATCAGCTTCTCATCATCTGAATCAGCCATGAATTCTGGCTGGTCATCCAATATTTGTTGAGAACCTGTTGATTTGGTTTTTGGCATCTCAGCCTCACTCACAGACTGATGACTTGTTTCTGTTCTGAGGTTCTCTGTGGTTTTTGAAACGGTGTTAATCTCCTCCTGTGAACTGCGGCTGGCTTTAAGACAATCACTGGAAAGGTTTGACTTGGTCCTATCTGGGGTACTTGTAGGCTTATTACTTTGAACCCCTTCATCCTGCTGCCTCTTTTTCTCTTTTATAGGGGCTTTAATTGTAATTTCCCCAAAAGTCTCCAAGTCAGTCAGGTCCACCTCAAAGTCAAGGCCCTTGTTTTCCACAGACATGGAGCCTCTCACAGACGTTTCCTGAAGATTATAGACAATATAGAAAATATTTAATCAATGCAGACTATATATGTTATGCTATCGCTTGCATTGGTTTACCTGGGACAGCTGGTGCTCATCTGCAGGTCGCTCAGTCATTAAATGGAAGATTTTCTTACTTCCATTTGTTAAGATGGAGAGCTTCAAACTTTCCTCATGATAGATCTGACTCCTCTCTCTTATTGTCACCTCCTGTTTCAGCAGAGGTGAGTCTACATACAGAGTCTTCCTTTTATTGCTACCTATAAAAAAATAAAAAAAGAGCCTCGTAACTAATAAGTTGGAGTGTATTCCCCAAATCACCGAAAGAAACATTTCATTATTTCAGCTATAATTTTATTGGAGATGAATATGCCATATTTTAGTTTAGCATATATTTAACTTTTTATTGGCTTCCTAAAATTTTTGATGCTATTTTTACTACAAAAAGCTGTAGATTAGGTGGACCCCCACATCTAAACCCAGACCAACTGAAAAAAAAGATGCTGAATTACAATGGGCCCACATTAAATAATTAAAAACTTTATTAATTATTTTATAGAGAATATAATGACTATTGTAAAACAGCGCCACTATGTGGCCACTCAGTAAATTTGCAGTTTCAACAACTGTATTTTCTTCTTCCTGTAAAAAGCTTTAAAATAACTCCATTGTTTGGAAAAAAAATCAGCATCATCTTAGGATGATAGCTTTTAAAAATCCATCTACTAAGGACTTTTACCCTCTAGGGGGAATAATGTAAGAAATTAAGAAATTATTAGCATTAAAAAAAATGAAATAAAAAAATAAAAATCAGGAAACCAATAATTATTAGTATTCGTGGGAATAATGAGCTAACACATTCATCACCCATTAACTTTTTCTCTGTTGATAAATTATAATCACAAGCTTCAATGTATTTTTTGTGATAGACTCAAATATCATATGTGAATAACACACCAAATGAAGCACATTTGTTTTGATTTTTAACGATTTACAAATAAAAATCATGAAACTTTGACAAGTAAAATCAATTGTCATTAGATGCTTATTCATTAGTAACCAGAGTCTACTTGTGTTTAAGATAAGACCAGCATAAATCTAGATATCATGTGAAGCCCTAAGACAGAAACTGGTTAGAGAACATTAGTGAACAAACTGAAACATGGAGACTGAGGATCACTGCAAAAAGGCCAGGGGTAAGGTTGGTCAGACAGGGATGACTGTCCAAAGCTAAACATTTACAAAACACGGTCGGATCCTGTTTTGCTGAATACAACACAACTAAAAAAATAAATAAAACAAAACAAAAGCGACCAGTTAATCACATCCCACCTAAAGAAACAGCATTAATTAGCAAAGGAGCCAAAAGGCCCAAGATAACTATGTAGGAGCTGCAGTTATCCCGAGAACAGGTGGAGTGATGTTTGTAAAAAGAAAACATTAAGGTGTTCTATCTATATTCCACTGAAATAAAGTCCAAGATTTCCAGTCAACAGTTTGCGACTGCTTGATGAACACAGCAAACGTGAAGTCTGCTCTAACCTGAATGTAAAATAACTCTGAACTCTGCTTCAGGTAAGAACATGGTGATGGGAGTGTCATAGTGTGGGAAAATTCATCTTCCGCAGACAGAGGAAAGCTGGTTGGTTAAGAGAACGATGGATGGAGCTAAACACAGAAGGAGTTTTACTTTAAAATGTAACAAAGCAAAATGAAGTATGTAGGAGTTTTGCTTCTAGAGGCACATCTTTACTAGGGATGGAACGGTTTATGAAAACCGTCCGAACCGTTCGGTTCGACTGTCTCGGTTCGATTCGCGTGTGTTGCGTTCGGTTCATGCGCTGCTCCTTCTTCTCATAGGCAAAGAATGTACACTCCAGAGCAGAAGGTGGCGGTACTGCGACCAAAGCCAACCACCAGTAGTAAACAAGAAGAAGAAGCGAAGCAGCGTAGCCGGGTGTAGCAGAAAAAAATCAGTTGTTGTGGAGAATTGTGTGGGTATGGCGAGTGGGAAAGAGCAGGAGTTGGAAGACGCGCCAGCAGCACTTTATAGGTCTGCTGTATGGGACCACTTTGCATTTAGAGTGACCTACGATGACGGCGGAAAGAAAGTTGTGGATAAAAGTGCAACAGTGTGCAAGCATTGTGCAAAGCGTGTTGTTTATGCTAACAGCAACACGACCAACATGTCATGCTAACAATGAACATATACCGAACCGAAAACCGTGACCACGAAACCGTGAACCGAACAGAAGCGTGGATTTTGTGAACCGTTCCACCCCTTATCTTTACCAATAAATGTGGAGATTTGTTGACTGTAGAGAAATAAACATTATAAAAAAAAATAAATAAAAAAAAAGATATTCTTGTCACCATCAAAAACTCTAAATTATATTCATATTCGGTGCTGATGAAGATTCTCAGTCATCCAGGTCATAGTCATTCCGTAAAAGTTTCCGAATTCATATTCGGTCTGCTTTTGGCTAATGATTTTATCGTTAAAAAGATGTAAAAACATTGGTCTGTGTTGTTGATCCTTATTAAAGCTACAAAATGATGTGAAGTCAGAAAGTAACAGTAAAAGGGATACAACTCCTACTGTAATGCATGGTATATTATCATATACTGTATTAGCTGTATTCAACATTTGTTTTAAAAAACTGTTTTAGTATTATTTAAACAATGCTGTACTTTAACATCTATTCTAAAATCAGTAAAATTGTAAGACTGAACACACCTTTGCCTGCAGTTACCTTGACCATAACAGGAAGCTCCCAATGGTCGCCAAAGTCGGGGCCGTGGTTGTCCAGCAGTCTAAGCAAGGCATCCCGGGTCAGGCAAACATGAGGTTCATAATAAGAACAAAGTTTTTCTGCATTCCCATCGCTACTGATCATCTGTAGGGCAGAGTAAAAGCACATTATCACACTGCAAAAATAAATTACAACTGTTGCTGTTTATAATGAAATGTTACATTTACAACAGTTTGAGAAAGTGAGACACAAGCGCCCTCTGGTGTCTTTTTTTGAAAACTGCAGGACAAATAGACCAGCTAACAACCATCATACAGTCTTGAAATTAATTCCAGCAGTAAGACATCTCTGCTTGTTCTGCTGCAGCAATTAAAAGAAGTGAGACAATTGCTTACAGCATGCTTATCCTTGGCTTTCTTAGCTGGAGGATTTGCTGATGAAACACTGGGATAATCGGATGCAAGCTGAGCATCAGCAGGCACCATCTTGTGGTCGGTTAGACTCACGGTGCCCTGGAGAAATAATGGGTGCAAATGTGGAAAGAGGCAAAGTTAATCAACAGGAGGCTGATTATGCAGTTAAAAACTTGAAAGGGAAAGCTCGCATGTTGAAAGAAGACAATGAGATTTAAAGTTACAACATGTGGGATTAGTTCAGGGGTTCATTACCATCGCCAGCAGCTGTTTCTCAAATGTCAGCGCCAGTCCTGGATTAAATGTTCCTCCTGTCAAACTGGTCATTTCATGGATCTGGTAGAACTGAGGAAGTGCCTTAACAGACTCTAAACATGCCTGAAAGAACTCCTGAAACACATTTGAATTTTATTTTGCATTTCAAAAACCACACAAAGCAGATCCAAGGTACAAACCATAAGTACCTCTGTATACTGCATTGCTCCCTGTGTTATGAAGTTGTAGTCTTCAGCGCATATTTTAGCAACGTCCTGCAGGTACATCATGAACTGCATCACTTCATTGTTTATTCGCACTGTGAGGTTCTGAAATAACATGAGTTATTGGAGAAAAAAAAAACTCAATATAGTATATTAATACATAATATCAACAAGAAGAGAGTGCTTGTACCTTTGGAGGACCCCTGGTCTTCTTACTCATCAAATAACCCAAATAAGTTTTCTGGTCTTTGCAGGTCAGGCTGGACATGCAGGGATAAGGCAGCCTGGGTTCAGGATATGCAACATCCACCTCCTTGTCAGGCTTTCCTTTAGAGTTTTTGCTTCTCTTGCTGTTTTTTGGTTCCTCAGCATCATTGCCAGCAGACGGATCATCAGTATGACAGCTCTCTCCACCAGATGCTTGGCTACCGAAGCAACCGCTCTCTTTTTCCTTGGCAGCATCTTTTAGGGGAGGAGTGCTGTGGTCTGCAGCAGCCTTCTCACACCTTTGCTTTATGTCGCTATTTTCTGCAGGACTAGAAGCAAATGTGTTCAAACACTCATGAAAAGCATTTAAAAGCCAAACCACAGAAGTTGTGAATCAGTTTAGACTTTTTTTTTTATAACAAACCTTTGAAGAAAGGTCCAAAGTTCCCTGATGTGTGGTGAGAGTGAATATTTGTCATAGAGATCTCTGGTAAAGAACGGACCGTCTGGGACTGGGTCATCATCCCTGTTGTTAAAGATAGCTGGTAAAATAACCCCTTTAAATCTGTAACTCTTTATATTGTTTTTATTAGCATCAATAAACTTTTTATATTTGTTTGTTATGCAAGAATCTTTCTGAAGCCTCCCTTGTATTCCAAAATAAAAGCACTGCTCTGTTAGATCCATGTTCAGGTTAATTTGATTAAATCATAGCATAACAAAATTTACATTTTATCATAGAAGGTGAATAAAAAAAAACACAGAGTGTATTAAAAAATGAACAATTCCAAAGCATTTTTTCTGTTAACTTTGGCTTACAACTGTTTATCAGAAAATTAGATCACAGAAGATGTTTTCTATCCAGAAATGTTCTTGAATCGAGTTCCTGTATGAGGCTGTTTGTAGTATTTATCAATACAGTGTGGGATGAATGATGGTATGTCTGTTCATCTCCTAAGGCCCAGCTAAGGTGCTTAGCAAGTCCAGGCTGTTTAAAAGACAACCTTCATCCCATCTGCATTGCTGATTCCACGTGGCAGGGCAGGTTTAGTGGCCAATCAAGTGCCATACGTGGTCATTATAGCAGGTACTGGTACATTTGGCAGCAAGATGAATGAAATCAGCACCTCCAGAAATCTTGATGGCAAGTGGAACCCATGCTAAAAATGTCCTTGCAGATGGCTGCACTGATTTTTGACTTGTCTAAAAACAGTGGACTGGACCCACACCACGACATTAAACAATGTCCGTCTCCTGAAGATTTACTTTGGACCTGCAAGCAACTTGGACTACAACACAAAGCTTATTTAAACCTAAAAGAAGGTCTTTGCAGCACTAAATAACATTCCATTCCTGTTTTCCCCTAAGCAAAGCAGACATATCTGCCTTTTTGTCTAGTTCAGGAGTGACTCAACATAAGGATTGCAGACAGTTATGGCCCACGTCCTGGATAGTCTGGGTGTGATCAGCAGCGAACTAATGGATCAGCTTTGCTTTATGATCCTCCAAATGCTGTGGTCATCATATTTGCTTGTGCAAATGTGTTTCTTTCTTCCACTTAACTTTCTCTTACTAAGTTTGGATACAGTATGGGAACAGACAGGTTTCTTTTGCCCAAATCTTTGTTGTGGCTTTTTCTCCTTAGAGAGGACAAGTGCCTGATGGTCAACAGTCCATTCAGTTTAACACTCAAGTTTCTGTGGCATAAACCCCATAGTTTTAAGCCTTAATCTCCATTAGTGCAAAATATAAACACTTCAATCACTTTGTGATGAAAATATACTGTACATTTTCTGACGCACTTGATATTTAATGCTGATATTTACTGTTTGTGTTCTTATTAGACACAGATTACGCATAGTTTTATTCAGCTTTTACTGACAACTGTAATTATAATGTGCAACACACCCCTCAGCTGGATTAGGTTTAGTGTGGTTCTGCAAATTTAAACACAAAATTGATTTTTTTTTTCTATGTCAAGCTTCCCTATCTTGGTTCAGTATCGATGCGCTTTTCTCTAGTTTTTTTAACCCAGCGTGTAAAAAGCTAATATTTCATGAGGTTTAAGTTGTTCTTTCTAAGCGAGGAGATAATTTCCTCCTCATCTCAGAAAGCTCCGCGGTATGACGGAGTCCAAAAGTTACTCACCACTGCAGCTCCATCGTTAACTGTCAGGAAAAAACAGGTGAAATCTAAAAGAAACGTTTATTGCTGCAACTAAACTTCATTATGTTCCTGATTTCCGTTTGTTTAACGTGCGTCCTTCTTTGTCTGCTGGAAATACAGCAGCATTACCGTGCTTTGTGCAAACTACTGCCACCCAGTGGACTTTAGCTGTAATTGACGTTAATGTTAATATTTAAATGCTTGTTTGGATTATAAAAATAATGTAATGTGATGTAATATAATATAATATGCCCACCCAATAATAGCAATGCCAGTATATGATAACTACTCTTTGTTAGAATTTATTACCATGTTAGATTTATATTCAAATTTTAGGTTTTCTTTTTACCTCCAGATGTAAATCTGTTTACATCACTTTTACTGAAACTGACTTAAAAAAACAAACAAACAAAAAAACAATATTCAACTTGTCAGATAGGTTCTACTGTTAAAGTGTTTGGCATTTGAATCCTGCCTGTGTTCTTTATGTATTGTGTTTTTATGGGCTCTCGGTTAGTTTTTATTTATTTATTTTTTAGTGCAGTTTCCGCACAGCCCAAACCCATGCTGTTCAGGTTGCTTGGTCATTCTAGAATGCTTTTAGAAGACAGTTTGTGCATGCATTATTTTTACCTGGATGGTTACAGTTTCCCTATAGAAATATCTGAAAATAGCCCCACTACTTTGGGGTAACTCAACAAGGAAAACATTGTTATAAAAAAACTTATGGATAACTGGTTAAACTTGTATTGAAGTTCTTGGTTACATTAATCCAGCCTTTCATTTCCCCTGGCTTACTTCGGTCTTACTATTTCTGGAAAAAATGTGCACTTTTATTTATCTTTTTAAACTCTGGAAATGTTAATATTCTATCCATTATATAAAAGAAAAAGATTCTGATGATTTAAAAAAATATATATATATTTTTTCTACGTAATATTGGATATGAGCACTATTTATTTTCTGTTTTGTCATAACCCAGCTTAACAATTTTGTTAAACTCACTGACCAGTTTGTTTTTTGAATGAGCAGATGATTTTTTAATATAAAATAATTTAAAAGTTTTTTTATTATGTAGCTCAGATTAGAGAGCAGGTCAATGCCACACAGAGTTCTAGCTGCAGACACATCTCTAGAACAACTGTTAAGAGGAGACTGTGTGAGTCAGGCCTTCATGGTAAAATAGCTAATAGGAAACCACTGCTAAGGACAGGCAACAAGCAGAAGAGATTGCTTGGGCTAAAGAACAAAAGGAATGGACATTAGAGCTGTGGAAATCTGTGCTTTACTCTGATGAGTCCAAATTTGAGATATTTGGTTCCAACCATCGTGTCTGTGCTATGCAGGAAAGGTAAAAGGATGGACTCTACATTCCAGGTTCCCACCGTGAAGCATGGAGGAGGAGGTGTGATGGTGCTGGGTTGGTTTGCTGGTGAGACTGTTGGGGATTTATTCAAAATTGAAGGCATGCTAACCCAGCATGGCTACCACAGCATCTTGCAATGGCATGCTATTCCATCCGGTTTACGTTTAGTTGAACCATCATTCATTTTTCAACAGGACAATGACCCCAAACTCACATCCAGACTGTGTAAGGGCTATTTGACCCAAAAGGAGAGTGATAGGGTGTTAATTCATAGTTTTGATGCGTTCAGTGTGAATCTACAATTTTCATAGTCATGAAAATAAAGAAAGCTCTTTGAATGAGTAGGTGTGTTTATATATAATGTTTAAGGTATATGATGCTTATATTATTTTATAGACGAGTGAGCTGAACAACGGCCAGACTAAGTAAGATGGATGAACAATCAGAGGAGAAAAACAAAACCCATTACAAGCGGTAAATTTTATTATGGGATAACAGCACATAAAGCACATCTAAAATCGATGTGTCCAATGCACTTTTAATAAAGGTAATATTAAAGGTACAGTTTCTAAGTACAATATAACAACATTCATATTAGAATGAAAAGTATTTAAAAGACAACATTAAATTTCTTATTCTTCTTTACAGATGTATTTACAAAATGAATCAAAATACTTATTTTCATATTTAAGAATCAGACAAGAAGGAGCAAAACTACATTTGTGAATTAGACTACCTGCTAAAGAGAGTTCAAAAGAGCTGGATAAAAAGGTTCATGATCAACCGTCGCCATTTAAGATCAGTAGCAAACGTGTGACTTAGAAATCTGTGTCAAACACACACTAGATTGGGCTTTTTTTTTTTTTTTTACATTTTTTTTTTTTAATTGTTTTGCAAGGAAAAAGCTTCGACCCCCCTGCTCCACTCAACCTTCATGTGTGGAGTTACCCCAAACAGACACAGCACACAATGAACACAGAACATTAAAATAACCAGATGTGCTGTACGCTTGTTTTACAAACACGTACGAATACAGAATATACAATGCATAAGCAAATCCTCTGTTTGCAGTGAAAAAAAACAAAACAACAGAAGATGTAGAAATGTCAAGATTATTTTTTCATTTTCCCAAAAAAAATCAATTGTGCAATTAATTATTTAGGGTAATAACTTATCTGGGAGCTTTTATTGACCACTTCAGATCAACATGAAAAAAAAAAACCTTCCCAGTTTCTGAAACAACGTGAGACGGATGACGTCTATACAATAAAACCTTTTCAACATAACACACAAAATCATGTTGAAACACAAAAGGAAAGAAAATAAACAGTTTAAGCAAGGTGAGATTTTCTCATGTAAAAAATACATCACATCAGTACATGTATGGAAAATTAAAAAGGACAATCGAAACCATGTATGCATTTCATTACACCGAGAGGCACTCAGTGTGATACTTTGCTTATTATTGCAAACATTTTCTTAGTGATATTTGCTACAGAGAAGAGGAAAAAAGATCGACTTTGTCATCAAATGGCAAATCCATTCATGTCTGTTTTTTAAACACTTCATGTGGTGCAACAATAATAAAAAAGGAACACAAAAAAACATGCCACTTGTCTGAATAAAACCACCGTTTCAGGGCCGTCAGAACATACGAGGCTCGAGCACCACGTTCCCACGTCAAGTAAGGGACAATGCAGAAACACGAGGTAAAATAGTTAGCTTCTTAAAACCCTGATTAACTACAGCCTCAGTGAGTGGTTTGTCTTACAATCAGGAAAAGAAAAAAAAAATGCTGTTTCCATTTGAATATCAGGAATTCTCCACAAAATTCAAAGAAAGCAACCTTAAATAGCTTTTAAAAGAGCAGAATCTAGTTTTGCTATAAGCCAAAAGGAAATAAGTGCATTATCCCAGAGCTAGCACACTGATACAGGCACTGTCTGGATACTTTTTCTTTTTTATCACTATCATTTTTATCATAATAATTATAATTCGTTGAGTCCTAATATCAATAACACATGAAATTATTTTAATAATAGGGCAGCCAGGCTTAGGAATCAATACTTGGTTCATAAAATTAACTTACCTAGCACCACACATGAGGGCAACACAAAATAACCATAAGTACACCCCTATCTCTATCAAACTAATCCTAAAGGAGGGAAGCAAAGTAGAAACGGCTTCATCGTACAATATGATGCAATCAATAAACAGATAAATATTTCCACTGGGGAGACCTTAGTAGCATTATTTTCCTCTTACCTATACAGAAAGAAGTTACAAAGCTACCTTTATACATGTGATCCATAAGAATAATATTAAATATGTTGAATAAAAACAGCGGAGAATGAGGGAGAGTGTGAGAAACAGAACAGGTACAGTAATACAGGCCATGTCAAGTTCTTTGTTCTCCACCTGGGAACTGAACTGGTCAAATATACAGACGAGACGTCCACGAAATTTAACAAAAAAAAAAAAAAAAGATAAATAAGGGGGTGTATTTACATGCAGATGCACAAAAAGAATGAGAAATAATACACCAACATAGATTATTGCTTGACATTCAATTATGGCTAAAGGTTGCGTCTTTATTTTTTCTCCTTTTAAAACTATCGTCCTTAAATGTAATTTTAATCTTAAATTCTTATCAGCTGTACTCTGAAAAACGAGTTGATTTTTAACAAAATGCAATGACAGATTCATAATTATGGGTTAAAATACGCTAGCAGCTTTTAAGCATGACACGCTAGCCTTCATAATCCGCGATCAACGAGGGCTCAAAAATCCAGTATTCTAAAGAAGACAGAAGGAATTGATTTTAGTACGCTGCATTCTGACCAAGAAAGCTGAAAGAGCATGTTTTTGGAGTGGTGACTCTGCTCTTTATGGTCCTCCACAGACTTTTTGCAAACCGCTGAATTGTTGAAGGCGTTATGTTATACTTAAAAAAGAATCAAATAAAAACAACCTATACTGTACTTATTATGGATGGATCCAGCTCAGCATTTCCAAACCTTTTTCCTTTTAAGAAATTCTTTAAAAAATTAAACCAAAATATCCTCATCCACGTAACCCTGTTCCTCTGTAATTATTAAAGCCTTGTCTGGGGTTTTTATTCTAGTCACACATTGTAAGAACAACACACGCACACACACACACACATATATATATATATATATATATATATATATATATATATATATACACACACACATATACAGAGACTATTGCTTTTTACAAACAGACAACATTGCAGAGACAGAAGAAACGGCACAGTTTACTGTATAATACACACAGATTGAAAAGCAGACATTATCTGGAAAATCTAAAAAGAAAAACAAAAAAAAAAACATATATATATATATAAAAAATAAAATAAAATGACCAGTGGCGGTTCTTGCATGCATGGTTCCCTGGGCCAGTGCCTGCAGGAAAACTTTTGATATTCTAGGATTGGATACATTGAGACATATTTGCATGTTTCCATATCTAGTATTTCTAGATATTTGCCACTCTGGGCAACTGCCCATTTGACCTCTAACAAAAACCGCCACTGAAGATGACATAATATTGCCAGTATAGTCATAGTACTTGTATGTTTGATGACCGTTTTCTGCTCTCCTGTCTCTATTGCAACCACACATCACATGTGAAGAGAAATAAAGGAACCGAACGGACTATTATTACTTCCTGGTAAAAAACTGTAAACATACAGGATGTATAGTTCATTATAAAAGAAAAGGTGGAAAACTGCAATGTAGAGACCCGTAATTGCAACACAAGGCATATTGCTTGTAATATTTTGCAGAATGCATCAAAGAGCCACTCATCAGGCTCACCTGCTTGCGCTTTAAAAAATGGCAGACCTTAGCTGATCGTGTGGGAAAAGTACGTCATGCAACTAGAAAACGTGCTAAAAACCAACCATTTCAAAGGAACGCAGACAAATCCCTCTTTTTCTTTTTTTTATTCCCATAAGAGGAATTGGATAAATCAGTGTGCTATGTCAGCCTATCTCAGGCCTTCCCTGTCCACCTCCCTGAGGGTTCACACCGCCTTCTTTCTATGTGCTGTTCTCATCGGGGCCACAGACATCTTTCACAAACCTGGATTGTCTAGCAGTGCTCCAGACTGGGGGCAGCAGGGGTTGTTTTGCTCAGATACTGAGGCTAACTAGTCGTATAGAGGGCTTGTGCATAATATACAAAGAGATGTGGACCAATAGAACAGCTACAGCAGATCTACTACAGCCCAAACACAACCAATTCAGTATTGCATAAGAATATTTTGGTTTTTCAAACAAAGAGGGTAATCATTTGCAAAGACCCTGATGACACCATCTGTAATAAAAAACAAATACTTCTTTCTTATTTACTAATAGGAAAATGCTTTGTGCTGAAAAACAGCAGGTTGTAAAATTGATGCGTTTATGGTTTTGATTTGTTGGCTAAAAACCTAATACAGTTTAAAACAAATCTTTACAGACAATCTGTAAAAAGTCACGCGACCTGTTTCGCTCCCAGAGTCTGACAGGGAATCAGAATAGACATCTCCTGTTGTAGCTCAGACACAGTTTACCAAATTATTCCTTTCTCCTTAATGTCAGAATAATGAGAGAAGTAAATAAAAGTTGAAAAAAATGTTTTCAAAGTGACATTTACATAGATTTCACTTGGTAGCTTTGTTATAAACTGCACAACTTAGGTCAAAGATATTTGGATGTTCTACACCAGGGGTCACCAACGTGGTGCCCGTGGGCACCAAGGGGCCCTCAAGGACAACATGGGATGCCCTCAGCATCTTTTGAAAACAGAACAATTCACCAGTGGACTAAATCTGAAATATTATTTTTTACTGAAGCTCTTATTTTGAAGCATTTATGAAGCATTTTATCATATCAATAAATTAGAACATTTGAGGATTTATATGGATTTCATAATGAGAATATTTAAAAGCAAATAAAAAATTAAAAGAAACAATAGAAATATGTTTATTATCTATGAAGTTCAGGTGAACGCCGACTCCTCTAGTTCATAGGTCAGTATTGGTAGCCCGTCCTATGACTCAGTACCCATAAAGTAGCCCTCAGCCTTAAAAAAGTTGGTGACCCCTGTTCTACACGTTTCTTGCCATCACTGTATATACAGTATATAAATATCCCATGCACCTTTTTCTTCCTTTGGCACATTCTTCTCCTTTGACTATTTGAGCTGATGTAACGAGTAAATTTCTCCACTGTGAGATCAATCAATCAATCAATCAATCAATCAATCAATCAATCAATCAATCAATCAATTAATCAATCAATCAATCATTATCTGCTGGAATGTTGGCCTGCTCCTCCAGAAAGATCAGCAGTAACCCTGTAGACAGCTTTGCTCATTTAGAACTTTTTAGCTTTCCCCACAAATGAAATCAGGGCTTTGGAATAGAAAAAGAAAAAAAAAAGAAAGAAAAAAAATTGACCTTCTTTTCTTTAACCCACTTTGTAATTAATTTGGTGCTATGGTTAATAACATTGTCCATGTGGAAGACACATTTGTGCCAAAGTTTTAACATAATTGGCTGTTTTCTTGAGGTGCTGCTTCACTATTTCCACATAACCTTATTTTCTTAACAATACAAGCTGATAATATTCCCTCTTGCAGCAGCGACCCCACAACATGATGCCGTCACTACCATACTTTACAGCTGGGATGGCATTCTGAGGCTTCAAATCACCTATGTTTTTCCTTCCAAGTGCAACAATAGTCATCCAGATCAAACATCTGAACTAAAAAAAAAAAAAAGACCACAGGATGCATCTCTCATTATTCTGGCCTTTAAGTAAATAGGAAGGATTTAGTCTAATTTAAAGTCAGACAATGAGAAGAAGTCTTTTCTTAACAAAGCGTCAATAAACATCTGTTTTAAACTGCACGTCGGAAATGTGAACTCAGTGATAACATTTTCAAACCTAATTTCAACAGCTTCCCATGGAAACATCCCTGAAACAAACTAAATGAAACATGATGAATACAAACAAATGTCCTATCAAATGGAAAGATAAAAAAAAAAAAAAAAAAAATTCTTCCCTGAGGGGTGACAGCACAAGGCATTAACGTCTTGTGCAAATTGCACAGCAAAGGAACGATAGTGTGCAAACAGAAAGAAATGAACAAACAAAACTTGATTCTGCTTAACAGTTGGTGACAAATGTATTAACACGCTTTGCTGGGTTTCCTAAAGGGATATTTTTTCATTTCTTTTTTTTCTTTTAAAGTTACTCAAGAAGCTGCTACTGAGATTGCTGGAATGTCTTCAGAATCCATTCTACGTTTTAACCAAGTAGACTGGAAAGCGGAAGCGACGACTACAGTTTGGCACATCCAGGGTTTTTTTTTTTCTACAATTTTTTTTTCTTTTACCACGTTTACCGCCACACTGACAAGAAAGACACACTTGACAAAAACAGAAGCACAACAACAAAGCGTTCTGAAAATAGCACTTGTCCTGCCATTTTCTGTTTTTTTTTTTTAAACTTCCCCCTCCTAATCATATAAACAACAGCTAGTCTTAATTATTGCAGGGATACAGTTAAGTGCTACCTGACATCTTTTTTCCTCTTCCTCATCCTCTTTCGTGGGTTTGTTAAACCAAAACAATTTACAAAAATAGAAGCTTTACTACCAGACAAGGCTTTGAATATTCACTTTCCCTTCACTGTTTATCGTCTGTGTCCTTTTAAGCTGCTGCCACGCCGAGGCTATGGTAAGAAGGCAAAAATACACTCATATTAAAAAGGGGGGAAAAAAATCAATGCCGTTTCAAATATACCTTTATAGTGCCGTAAAAAAAAAGTTTTCATACCTCTCTAACTTTTAATTTTTCAAGTTAGAACCAAGACCTCCAACCTGTTTTGTTGGGATTTTATCTGGGAGATCAGTTATTAAATAATGATGCAGGGAAAGAATAAGCCTTTAAGCTTTGTTTAGAAAGAAAAATCTGAACAGTGTGGCCTGCTTTAGCACCTGATTTCATAGCTCTAGTACACTGAAATTAAATCCATTGCAACCAATTTCCTTCAAAAATCTTTCTATATAAATTCCACATAATAAAGTTTTTACTTTGGAAGTCTAGCTTTGTGAAAAATAAAATCCTCATCTAAAGACAAATGAGACATGTTAGTAAAAGCTTCTGACCTTCCAGCAGAACAATACCCCCCTTTAAGCAGGACCCTGCTTTTAATTTAAACGTTTATAATGAGCATATTTCAATTGGTAAAAAGGCCTATTTAAAGTACAGGTCTAAATTAATCCAATTAAAAATCTGTGGCAAAACTTGGCCCATTTTAATGGTGCCTGAGCTTGCAAAGAAGGATAGTATTTCAAAATACTTCCAAATGCTATTAAAGTCTTGGGTACCACACTTTTTGGCATTTTGTGCAAAAATAAATAAATAAAACAAAAACAAAGGAAAAACATGCATTAGTTTCCTTTCCTTCCACCATTAAATGCTATTTGTGCTTGCATATTACATAAAATCCCAATAAAATACAGGATTATACCAAAAGGTTGTTACTTGATAAAATGCTACATATATAATAAGTTCAAGGTGTATTCATTTTTAGCAGCCTGCAATAGGCATGCTTTTAAGGGTACAGTAGTAATGTCACCTCTGCAATACTCGCTTGTCTTATTTCAAACTTCCACTAGGTGGAACAGTAGGATTGCAATCTAAATGTGTTTTTCTTCATGTTGAATCACATGGCAAAAAAAATCAAAGTATTTTTTGTGTTTTTATTCTGCTATCCGAATTCTGTCAAACTGGAATTCAAATAAAAACATATAAATGTATATAATTTTGTAAATTGCAAACGTCTCTGCCTCAAGGTTTTTTTTTTATTATTCAGGTTTTAGACACATTATTAGGGGTAATCAGAATCTTAATTTCTGTGCACCTTCCTACTGAAAATATGCAGCACTGTTGTAGCCGTTTCAGAAAAAAAGATAGAGCGTCTTTAGTTTGCCTCCTAATCCGTGCCTCATTCATGTGCGTCCAGCAGCAGCATGGGTCATCCTAACAGAACCCCCTGATCCCCCCCCACCAGCCTCAGAACACTTCCAGACCAATAACACCCATAGCTCCCAAGAGTAACCTCTGTGACTATGATTCAGCTTGTACTTCTTGCGCACATGCAACACATCACTAGGTAAATATACAAGTCTTAAATTAAACAAAGGTGTAAATAAAAGTGCCTTATCAATTCAACAATTAAGAATGGTCTAACTACGAATATCATACATGTTATTTAAAATAGATTCTATAAACATTATTTTTTTCTGTATAGTAAGTACTTATGACCATATACCCTGTAGTACATTATAAAACAGGTGGAATGGAGCCTTTTCATTGCGTTGGTACCCTGGGCTTCTTCAGGGCATCTTTCCAGAGAAGGATTAATAGCAGATGGCCTTACATGATTTTCACTATGCAACAATGGTGGATGGAGTCCTTGACAGCTAAAATCATTGTGTTTTATAAGAATTACCAGAATTCTAGTCTTCCTTTTTTTTTTTGTTCCATTTTAAACGATTGTCCTTAAAGAGGCGCCGATTGCATCACCATGCCGACGGAACCTCCAAGAGAGTTGCTGTGAGTTTTCATTTCGAGCGCTGCTTCCAAAACAAAAACAAACCAAAAAAAAAAAGAGAACAGGTAAAACGGCTGAACTTGACCAAAGTGTGCACATTTTGTAGGAGACTTAAATTCGGTCGGGGAGTCAGGTATTATAAAGATGAAAGGTTTAATTGTGAAAACACTAAAAAAAATCATTTAAGGAGTGCAAACCTGGGTGATAATACTGCTGAGGTCATCTTTTAAGTGTCGTTATACTCCTGCATCATAATAAAAGCAAACAACACAGGTGAAACTGTTTTGTTTTCCTTTAAAAAAGTGCATTAAAGGGCCAAGTTCAGCCAAACAGAAATTATTTGTTCCCATCTCCTCTTCATGTCTCGCTGGAGTTCAGTTGCATCTTCTTGCGAAACCTAAATTACACAAAGTAAACCTTGACAATTAGCTAGCCAATGCACCCGCCCCTCCACTGCAAAAACAAAAATTAAAAGGGGAAAAAAGGGGGGGGAAAAAGTTGAACAGCGTGCCATCTGTCCGCTCCGGTCTTGTGCAGGGCACCAGTAAAGTGTCTCAGATTCCTCCTCCATGGCCAACATCTCCCTTCCCCCCAAACAGTGGGCGCACCAGCACCTGGGGGGGCGGAGCCTGTTACCCATCGACGGGCATGGACTGCTCAAAGTCTGATCCGAACAGCTCCTTATATAAGGGGGGGAAGTGGGCACGCACAATGTCTGGGTATATTGCTTTGAAAGCCGTGAGCTTCTCTGTATGCCTACTGCACAGCGCTCGCAGTGTCGACACTTTGCATATCAACTGTGGGGAGAGAGAGAGAGAGAGAGAGAGGAGGGGGAGTAGGCTGTTTAGATTTACTACGAGGCAAGGACAAGGAGCAATTGTAGTGAAGAAAAAAAAAAGCCCTCCCTACAGTCCTTAGTGGCCCAAACAGACTTTAAAATCACGAGACATTGAAACACTTCATATTAGAGAGGAAATACAATTAATACATTTCCACATTTTGAGTAATAAAAATGAATTGTACTCAGTTTGGAGACTATAGGTTTGGACACTCAATTGTGCTTTTTATTTAACTAGTGAAGAATAGATCAAGCTTAGCTCAGAGATGCAGGGCAAGATGCCTTACAACGTACCTTTGTGAGAATACCATCCTCTCTGTGGTTCTTCTGCAGAACATGCTGAAGGGCCAGTTGGATCTTCTGCTGGAGTTTCTCAACTTTCACCTTCTCCTGCAGCCAGGATCGGTCTGAAAGGAAACATTTCACTGCTTTATAAATGGCTAAAGTTCATACAAAATTAGTACAAATAGTTTTGGAAAAAGTACCCCATACACCTGATTTGTCAAGTTACATTCTCAAATCCCAATAGGAATTCAATAGGATACTTTATAGGTCAACACAAAGCATTTTTATTTTTTTAGCAATTAAGATTTTGAAAATGGTGGCATGCATTTGAATTAATCCATCTTGGATTATTACTGTCTGAAAACACATTTCACTGCCACTGCAGCTGAAGTGCTTTTGGATATGTCTCACAAAGCTTGGCCTAACGCAGACCCTTACCCTAAGCCTACTAATTACCTAAGAGTAGACCCCAGTAAGCAGCATATTCTGGGGACACTGGCTTTACACTGTCTCTGTCACTGCATATTTATTTTGTATGCTTCCTACCTGGCCTGTCAGTTTATATTGATTTGTTTGATAGGTGCAGCTGTACCATACAGATATCAAATTATATCAACTAATTTGGTGACTTCTAAAGGCAGCTGATTGCTCTGGATTTAATTCAGAAGCTTGGGTAAGAAATAATATATATACATGCAACACTTTTAAGATTTTTATTCCCATTTGATTTTTGAAAACCACATGTAATAATTTTTCTGGCTTACAATTAATTGCAGTTTTTTTTTTGCTCTATTACATACAATGCCAATACAATGTATATTTGAATGTGACTGAATGCATACAGTTTAAAGGGTATGACTACTTTTGCAAGGCAGAGTATATTGTTATGGTGATCGTGGCTGCTCCCACCCCTCTCCCCCACATTGTTGCTGTGACTGACACCTACCAGCAGACATCAACACAAAGGCAGAGAACAGGGCGATCTCATCCTCAGACAGGTGCATAGAACACAAGTTTTTCCCAAACTCGAAGACGGAGCTGATCAAGTCGTCACAGCCTGCCACAGCAAAGGACATGGAGAGAAAGAGAGAGAGAGGGCTTAGGATAGGGAAGACCAAAGAACAACATTCACGCTTGATCTTTATTGGGAGAGAGGCACACAAGGAGGGGAGAGGAAGGGGGAGGGATAAAAAAGAGCAGCGTGCTGACAGCACATGGGAGCGTCTTAAGCAGAACAGGCAATGCTTTTACTGAGTTTTGCCTCCCAGACGAGTCACTTTTGGCAGTTGGGCGGCGTTATGCAAGCTAAAATGAGGTCACTATTGAGGCTTTTAGTTAAATCAATTATTGGGGACATACAGAGACAGGCACATGACACCGCTGCTCGGAAAGCTCATCATTCTCCCTCCCTCTGCCGCCGTCCCCTGCTATCAGTTAGAGGGACGTTCACTAATACATAAGCAGGGGTGCTTGAAAAAAAAAAAAACTGAAAGAAACAGGAAGGCGTATCTTCAAAATCACTACGGATTGCATTAACATTCTCACCGTCAAAAAGATAACTATGCAGGGAAATCACAATAAAATATGACAGTCAAACATGACTGCCATTTGTTTTTGTTTTCTTTTTGCCTGAGATGTTTCATATCAGACTATCAATGATAGTTTTGATAGCAGTCTCCCCAAAGATGCTCTGTCTGGCTTTATTTATTCCGCAGTTACAGGAGCCATATGCAGCGGCGTCTCGGTAACAGCTCTGTTCTACCATAAATAACCGCTGAAGAGACAGAAATGCCAGGTGAGGAAGGGATGAGGAGCTCAGTGGTTTCTTCCAGGCCTTCAGTGTTGAGCCCACAACAACAGCAGACTCTAATTTTGGCTGCTACACCAAGGAGAGGAGGAAGACACTGTAAAGAAACACTCTAGATACACAAACACAGCAGCTCACTAACACAAAAGCAGGCACCCACGTCTGCCTGCCTGCCTGCCTGCACACCCACTCCACTTACCTAATGACTTGAACACATCAGGTCCGGCATATTTTCCATCGAAATAGACGGTGTTGTTTTGCGAGTCAAAGGCACGGCACATTCTGACAAACACAACTTCCAGAGAGCCTGCAAGACAGACAGGAACAAGGTGCTGAAGATTTTCTTTTTTCGCTGCAACATCAGTCAGAGGTGCAAAACACACGATTATGCTTTGTGTTAATCTTCTGAAATATGAGAAAACAACCGCTTTGAAATATGCCTGCTGGCAGAGGAGAATAAAAACTGCCTCCACAGATGAAAACATCATCGATAGAAGGCTATTCTTCTACAGAGCAGCGCTTCACAAAAATAGGTAGCTACGTTACTTGTTCATTTAGACTCTCTTTTTAGCTGGAAAGCTATTTATTAGATGTGACAATAATGTAACCCTTGATGGGAATGAATAAGAAGAAAAAGGTACATAGATAACGGTTCCTCTTATTGACACAGCTGAAAAAGGGTGTTTTAAAAAAAAAAACCTTGGGATTAACTCATAGTTTACTTCAGCCTTCGTAACCACACTGAATAATTTAGAAAAATAAATCCTTTGAGTACATTTCTACAGAGAGAAAATCCAAAATTATATATCTATATCTATATAGATATAGATATACAGATATATATATATAGATATATTATAAAGCCAATTAGCCAACTTATAAAATTGGAAAGGAGACAAATTTGTTTTTATCTTCATAAAACAATTCCTCAATCAAATAGTGACACAGAAATATCTACTTTCCTAAACTTCCCCACATCTACAACATCTACATCTATAGCAATGACCAAGACAAAGACCAATAATGCCCCTGGTGAATTTGGAATGAAACCAGGGAACAAAGCTAGTTTTGGGTATGGTAAAGGATCTATAATACTGTGGGCTGCTTTATCTATAAATATCAGAAACAGTGTGTTAGTAATATTATAATACTAAGATACTTCCTGTATAACCGGGGGTATGTAAACTGAAAATGGGATGTAACTAGTCTTTTACCAGGATACGGATCTAAAAAATATGTCCAAATAGATGCAGAAATACTTCACCAGAAACAATAACTATTTCAGTTAAGAGAACTAAATCCTTTGGGTGGGCTAAAAGAAAAGAGCATACGTTCGGACTGTGGTCGCATAGAGAGACTTTTTAAAGATAAACGGTCAATGATTTCTCTCTTGGCTTCAGCTTTGTGAAAAAGTTAGAGCAGTACAGTCCTATTGGCAAAAGGAGATTAAGAAGAATTTATTCCAAGGCTTTTTCCCACGTTGTTACCAGAGAATCCAATAAGGGTTGATTGCATAGTGTATCTGCATGAATACAGGCTACATTATCAGAGCAGTTCAAAGACACATCCTCAATTTATGGGAAAAACTGGAAAAAAAATTCAGCTAGCATGACATATTATCAGAAGTCTGAGAAGGATGACTTATCTAATACAGTGTGTGCCTCTGCTATGTATGCAATGAACAGAGGAAAACAGAAAGAGGCAGAGTGGGGTGTGGTGGGGTCTGCTGCCTGTGACACTGTCTGGACGTGTGAAGGAGAGGAGCTTTGTGCAGTCAGGTCAGCTACACCCCCCCCTGACAACGCTGGAGTGGGGCCGGCGGAGGTGAGCCGAGGTGAGCTCGACGGCAGCGAGCCATGTTGACAGGCTGTCATACCTGCTTTCAGCAGCACTATCTGATCGTTCTGACACAGCTCCATAAAGCCGTCGATGCGCTTGGCAAACTCCACCACATACTGAATGGCCTCCGTTATTTTGATAGCACACAGCTGCCACATGACTTCCCGGGGCTGAGGAACAAGATATGAGAGAGAATGGGTTATCTGCTTTAAAACAATAATTTTGATAACTGCAGTTGCGACGCCAGGCCAGCCGTCTTACCTTGCTCTGGTAGCTCTCCACCTCCTCCTGAAGGAAAGCCTGCCAGGTCATCTGCTGCAGCTCCTCTCTCAGGTACTGACATGTCTCCATGTGTGACTTTGAGATGTTCTGGGCCAGGTGCTCTGAAACACAATAACCAACATCATGAGGAACCTGCAAAATTTCAGCTGAGATCCAAGTGTTACAAAACAGAGGTATGTAAAAGTGAAGACCTCACTGATGAAATATGCCACAGGAAAAGAAGATTTATTTACAGAGTTTTCATGAAGGAGCAAAGAGTGTGTTTGTGTGTGTTTGGGGGTGGGGGGGAATACATGAGTGCTTTTTTTGGGAGAAAGCTTGTTGACATTTCCTTATTCTGCCTGCAGGAAGCTCATAGCTTAAGGTTTAGGCGAAGCCAATCTAGTTATGACACAAATACATGGAAAGGGAAGGGGGTGGGGTGCCATGTTACTCACGGAAACAAAGGTCACGTTTTCTCTCAGAGAAATATTGAGTATAGGAATTTAAATGGTTTTGAAAACACATCTGTTAAAAAGGAGTTCCTCGGCACAAGGGAGCCTAAAAAAAATGATTTCCCCAGACGCCTGCCCTGCTGGATCCCGATTGGCCCTAATTAATGGAAACTAATTACAAAAAAAAGAGGCTCTTTTAATGAGTGTTGGAGATGAGTCTCCAACCTCCTGCTATTTTAAGCAACCTTTGTGTCGTTTGCCCCACGGTTGAGTTGTTCTACCCCCCTCCTTTGTTTTACTGTCTCTCCTTTAACCTCTCCTTCCCTTTCCCTGCTCCTTACCTAGTTCAGCCATAGAAACGGTGGGAGACGTCTCGCCATTGGTGAAGGAGCAGTAGGGAAAGAAGCCAGAGCCGGGGGCAAAGTCGCAGATGGGCTCTGGCTTTATACCGTTGATGTCTAAGCCTGATTGGTCAGGGGATGGCTGGATGTCCAGGTAGAAGCTGCTGACCGCAGAGTCGGGCTTGCTGCCATCAGGAGTGTGGCCGTCCATGTAGCCGCTGAGGTCGTCGTGTAGCTCCGTTAGGCCGTTGGCTGAGAGACCATAGCTAGGTGTGAGTGGCTCTGCCTCTCCAGGCTGCTGTTGGTGGTCTCGCTGCTGCTGCTGCAGCCGGTGCTTCTGGACCTCAGCATACAGGCTGTCTCGCTGCTTCTTTGACATTCGGCCAAACTTCACCGCTGATGCAAAAAAAGGATGAAACAAGAGTGAGAAAACAAGTAAAAGAGAAACTAGATACCAAACTACAGTTAATCACACCTATAAACAAGTTTCAGTATAAATTAAAGCAAATACCTTTTTATATTTACCTTTTAGTAACAGGAAAATAACAGGTTAATTCCTTAATTCTCAGCATATATTATTTTACAAATATTTCTTTTGGTCATTGAATTTAGAAATTCTAAATATGTGCTAATTAATGGTCCAGAACTTTTTACTTTTTTATTCTTTCCATTAAAAGGCATGAGATCTTGTGGCTTTTGGTTATTAGTCAACCAATTTCATTGAAATTGACATTTTGTTTATTGAATAAGTCATGATATCCTTCCATAATTTTGTGTTGGATCTAGAACAACTATATAATAACCTATTTTTATAGTTATCACACAATGAAATCGGTATTAGCTAGGAAAAGGCTTGTCAGTCTTTATTGACAACATTTTTCGTGTCAAATCCCACAAAAATCTCCATTTAAGTCGCTGAAAATATTGTGAAACTACCGTAAAATATGAAATTCAACCTAAAGATTCACTACACTTTTGACCCAACAAAAATCTTAATAAAATGTTAATAAAAACATACCCAACTTCTCAATGTTTGATCTATTTAGTAATTATCTATCTAATCACTGTAAATACTTTATTACTGACAAACAGAAAGAGCCTGTCATGGTTAGACATGTTTAGATATACAAATAAAAAAATTAAAAATGGTATAATACATTTATAGCAACAAAGTACCAAAGATTTTAGAAGTTTGAGTGGGGGTTTATTTTATATTTATTTACCTAAACCAAATTATTTTTTACAGAATATACTCTTCTACATGTTTTAATTAGGGATGCACGATATAATCGGCCCCCTATCGGTATCGGCCTGTATCGGCCTTAAAACTGAATATGGGACATCGGCCACCCCACCGATATTTAACCCGATATTTGATCAGCTTCTGAGTTTCTAAAGTCTAAAAAAAAAAAAAAAAAATACTACTTCTTGTTCTTCCTCAAAAACTTCTTTTTTACAGACTTAAAAACTTCTAAAGATGAGGGAAAAAATATTGATATATTAAAATATCTCAATATCTTCATATGCTGATATATTGCCATTTAAAAACACCATATCAATCTCTTTTACTAATGAAATATTGCTATATGTCATCGTTATGCTACGAAATCCCCCGAAAATTCACGAAATTTTGCCATATTTTTATATGTTGATATATTGACGCGGTATCGATCTATTTTACTAACAAAATCTCACAAGAATTTGCAACATATCATGAGAGTTTTTAACAGAACGATGAAATATCACGAGATTTTGAAAGTAAAATAGATCGATACCGCGTTTTTAAAAATCTATTTGATATCAGCATATGAAAATATATTTGAGTATATTATTTTTCAAAGTGTCAGAAATGGATAACAAAACTGCTATTTTCAATGACTACTTATTTTTGTCCAGCTTTAACATTGGTATCGGTATCGATTATTGGCTACATGGGTTTTAAAATATCGGCATATCGGATATCGGCATCCCTAGTTTTAATCATTACTCTATTATGTTTGCAACAACAGGCATAACAGATGCTTTAAAAGATCCATTTTTTAAATTTTGTTGAAAGCTTTTGAGTCAATATGTGATACAATGAAGTCAATAGTTTTCTTAAATGTTTTATCTTAAGAATTGTCATACTGGCCCACACCACAACAACTAAGCCAACAGTGTCAAACTACACTAGAAGTAAGAATCTCATAGCTAATGTGCAACAAAATGGTAAAAAAACATGGATTAAATCTACAGTAAATAGTTCCAGGACACACAAAAAAGAAAAATTACTGACTATCATGATAGTGCAAAAATAAAAGGAGAGGTAAAAAAGCTGGTCAGACAGTCCAACATGAGAAAAGTTGTCGGCTTTAGACACTTAATTCTTTTGCAAAGGAGACTTCTTGGCTGATGTTTGTGGAGAGCGACAGTAAGTCAGGAGGTCACGGTGTGCATGTGTGTCCTCAATGAGTGTGTGTGCATCTATGCAAATAAAATGCATGCAGAGGGACTTGGAGGAGAGTAAAAGCATAGAGGCTTTGAAATGTTCAGTGAAGGTAAGAGTCACCTTCTTCCAGTCAAAAACCTATATATACATCCCTGTATAAGCATGTCTGTATGAGTAATGAACTGTGCATCACTTAGCCATGCACTCTAAATCCTGTGTTCATTTATATTCAGGACTGTACATGCATAGGGATGTAGAAGGCTCTGTGAATGTGAATGTATGTTAAGATTTTCACTTTAAATCTGTGAAACCATGCTGTAATGAAAAAGATCTGCTTTGTTCAGGCAGAACCTCCTCAGCTCAGTCTAGTCTGGACCTGCCTCACAAAGAGGACACAGCCACTGAGGGGTTTCTATCATAGCATCTTTGCTGCAGCAGCAATCCCAATACTCTCTAAACATGTTCTGTTAAATGAAAACTGGTTTCTATCACCGCAGAGTTTCTTCCACCACTGGCACATAACACACAATATCTGTTTTTTCCCCAAATCAGTGACTTCTCTATGAACAGTTGGAGGGCTTATGGTATTGCTTGATAATGTTTACAAAGCATGTCCACCTTGCCTCAGTTGTTAATATTCTTGGTAGATAGATGTGTCAAAACCATGAATGGTTCTAGGCAGGGGCCAGTGCCTTCTAGAACTGGTCCTGGCCCCTGTTAATGGCCCCTTACTGAAGACTAAATACAAAAAAGAAATACCAACGCTGATATGAACACACATATGGAGTGATAGCTCCCTTGGACCATTTCATTTTTTCTTTACAATTCTGTTTTCATTATGATTCTAAAGTTATGGTGATAGCTTCAGCCGTATTGTATACAATCACGGTTTCAATAGCGAAATGTTATGAACCAAATTTTAAAAACCACACATTTTTTACTGCTAAATTAATTGAATTCACTTATTTTAAAATTCTAATTTGATCAAAACTAAATAATATCTAAAATAAGTCACAAATATTCAGTACTCGTAAATAACGAATGAACACTGACCTAATATTACAAACAATAGTTTTTTGGGTTTTTTGTAATCTGTTAGTAAATATTTATTTAGGAACTAATTATTTCAGTTACTTTCTCACGCAATTGTATGGGATTTTCTAATTTTATGTAAAGTAAAATTAACATTAAGCCAAAATTAACAAATTTTCAACTGGAAGAAAATTTTAATGAAACTAAATGAGATGGGTTTTTCACTTCATTCAGTTTAGACCCCAAGTAACTCTTTGGTTCTGTGCTTCTCTTAATATATTTAAAATCTTAATTATTTCCCTGATTTTTGCTTTATGCTTCTCTGGGCCCCATTAAATCCTGCTGGCTCCACCCTGGCCCCTCTACTAAATATGGTGTAGAACTGCCACTGCAAATACCTTTAAAGTAAAAAAAGTCTTCTTTTTTGGCAGAATTGGATTCTCACATTGGAAAAAAACTATAAATAACTACTCATGCATATATTCTCAGCCTGCTTAATGATACTACTGCAGTATTTTTGCTAATCATATGTTGCTTATTCTAGGATGATGAGAAGTAATAGATTACTTCTTGTGTACCTTATGTTATAATATGAGCTTTCACAGAGATTCATATGTCAGACTCAGGAAAACACCATTCAAGTAAGGCAAATGTGTAATAATCACCATAAGTTAAGACATGGTTTCTTAGCCAAACTCGACCATAACTATATTCAGGAGTACAATTAAAAACCTTCAGGCAACTAGAACTGACCACAAGGAAGATAGTAAGGCACGCAAAGCAGCCCTGTGTTATAGATCTGCAGCAGAGGGGGGCCTCTTAAGGTCACAAAGTTTCATTTTAGCTACTTAGAAACCAATTCAATGCCAAAAGGATATAAGAGAGACATGTGGGAAAAAATTCATCTCTGACCAACAAAATTGGACGGCATGTGAAAAATAATCCTGGAAGATTCTCCTTTTGCTCAGATGGCAACAGTATTGACCCTTTTTTTAATCAACCTTTATTTTAACTATGTAAGATAGAGATTATGTTCTTCTGTCTTACTGGAGTCCAAGTTAACAAGATATTTTTTTCTCAAAAAAAAAAAAACAGAAGATTTCCAACGAAAATCTGGTGATTTTTGTCAGAAAAGTAATGATGGCTCATCTTTGATCTTTGGACAGCATTTAAAGGTATAGTGGAGGATTTTGTGAATTTTAAATTGCACATGCACATGCATAACCCTGTACCAGCATCCGAGAGGGAACACCTATTAAACTTGTGCGAGAGAATGCACAAGCCCATTTCTCCTCAAGGAGGTGCGGGGATTCAATAAGACGATCGCTTGGATAGATCTCATCTCACCAATATTTATACATAAAAAGTTTCCCTGCAAATAAGACTACTGGTACATTAAAAAATCATGATATGCTTGTATGTGTGTTTGCGTATTCGCAGGAAAAGATAGGTACCTGGGGATAAGCATGTAGGACAGCCTTACGTAAACATATCACAAGATTGATTGACAATTAGGAGGATCAATTATTTAAATGATCCACCTGGAAAAAGAACATTCTTCATTATACCTTTAAAACATAAGCATTCTCAGGAATAGAAGAGAGGATAAAAATGTATTCTTGACAATCTATAGCAGAGGTTTCTGAAGTTAATCCAGCTTCCTGTTTGTTTAAGTAATTTTTCTCTGGCTAAGCGCAAAAATCTAACGAATGGGTCATTAGCATGTTCACATGCAATGTTTGGAGCTATGTAAGCCATTTGAGTAAGCTGGGTTACAGCAGGTACACGTCAACACATGCAGAACCTTTGGCCTTGAGGGGTGAGCAAAAATTTGTTTATGCTTGATGCGTCCACAAGTTCTGTGCAATCAAATTACGTCATTTTGTGCTTCCAAGACGTGCGGACTCCATGCAGACAAATTATCTGGAAGTATTTTTAACACATTTATCTGGGGTTCAATCTGTCAGCAATTATATCAAGATCTAAAAGCAAATAAATGTGGTCACTTATATCACTAATTAAAATTACTTGCTTTAAACTCTCCTCAACCAAAACATCTCCCCGCGAGAAGACCAAATTTTGTTCTTCACCTTCATACCCAGAGGATAGGGAGAAGCAAAGTGGGCTCCCCATCACCACCCCCCATATGTCTCCACCCACCTGATGATCCACTCGGGTACAAAACAACTTACCATCTCGTGACATTCCCACTGCCAAGCACTTCTGCAGCCTGCAGTGCTGGCAGCGGTTGCGGCTGGTGCGGTCGATCAAGCAGTTTTTCTGACGAGGGCAGGAGTACGCTGCATTGCTTTGCTGACTCCTCCTGAAGAAGCCCTGCACAGGGAGAGGGGCACGGAAAATACGTCTTAGGTTTGCTGAACGGGCCTTGGCGGCTGCAAAAACACATTCTAGCACCTCAGAGGGAAGATAATTTTTATGTCTTCATTGTACTCTTGCGCTGACAAGATTTATTGCAGCCTGGCAGGGATGTATTGTACTCCCGGCGGTGATATTTTCATTTTACTGCTTGTAAATGGAAATGCAACAAAAAACTACTGTGGTGGTATTTTCTTGACTTCTTTGCTGGCATTTAAAGAGCACTGTATATCCACCAGTGTGTACAACACGAGGGCGGAATGTTTTGGTAGCGCATGATAACAGCGGCTGGTATTTCTCTTCAGTGGCGTTATTAGTGTTGATTAATGCAGCACAGGCATGTGCGGGGCTAAAGGATTGCAAACGCACACCAACTGGATTTCTCATCCTTTGACTTAATGAATTGATTCCAGCACATCATTAACATGCCCCACTCTACTGCTCCACACACATATGTCTTAATTAGCTGCTCATTGGCTGTTTAATTACAAGAAAACAGCTGACAGCTGCCAAGTTGCTTTATAATGGAAGCCATTATGGAAACAGAGTAAAACTGCCAGTGACAAGCAGCACTCCTTAATAATGCAATGATTTATGGTCCAAACTTTAATACTAGCACGTACCATTAAAGGCCTTTCTGTCTTTGGACTAATTAGCAATCATTAAGGATAGATTTCAGCAGTTTATTCTTTAGCATTGCATCTTTTCCAGGATCTGTGTGTGTAGGAGAGAGGGAGAGAGAGGAGTGCTTAGAAGAAGAGCTTCTTTCAGCTTTTTTTCTTTCCTTAGTGGGACTTTCTATTTAGTTTCTCTCATTTTTATGGCATAACCCAGAAGCTTACCCTAACCCTAACTACCAACACATGCCTTACCTAAACCCAATTCACTCCTTAGTCCTAAACTTAAACTCCAGCCCAGGAAGAGATCTTTTCCACATGAGGGACAGTCAACTAGTCAACCTCAAAATGCAGGATCTTTCTGGGAAATTGTTCTTACACTGTCCTCACAAGGTAACAGAAACATGGCCACACACACCTTCACACTTCACACATATAGGAGCGAAAAGCAAAAGGTAGAGGCTGGTTGAGGAATGCTAATGATGCTTGACGAGCATGAGGGGGGACAGGAATACGCTCTTCACAAACCTCCCTTTTCCCGTGAATGGCTGGTGTATTTGAAACGGTACAAAAGGTGGCTTCAATGGGGAGAAATGTGCTGTAGCAAACAGCCAACAATCTGCTATAATTCAAAGCGCTCTTCTTTTGATCATCCTATTTCAAGACGAGCAGCAGAAGCAGAAAAAATAAAATAAAAATAAACTTGAGAAAGGAAAACAGCAAAAAAAACTAAATGTATGTCCCTAGGAGGGAAAAGGCAAAGGAAGGACTATCTCTTGTTAATTGTAGTTTTCTATGATGCCCTCAGTGGTGCTTGACCACTTTAATGATCATGCTCTCCGTGTTTACATACCACACTTCTTCCCAAATCCCTGTAAAACTTCAGTAACATTTTCAGATGTATTTTTTACTCCCAAATAAGCATCTTTCTTTACCTCCTTGGTGTTTCCCTCCATGTCTTTTCCCTCCTTTTTTCACTTGCTTACAACCCTTCAAACTAACAGGTTCGCTTCTTATGATGCTTACCTTACAGCCTTCACATGTTATCACACCGTAATGGATGCCTGATGATTTGTCTCCACAGATCTTGCAGGGAATTATTTCGATTTGAGCTGCGGAGAAGAAAAGAAAATGAAAGAAATAAATAAATAAGAGGAAAATAAATCAACATTTTGCTGTCACAAGCCTTTGTACAACCCTCTCACCATGGATCCATGTTGGAACATGAAAGAGCACTGTGCTTCTAAAAACATCTCATCCACTGGCTTTTGAATCCTGTCTTGCACATAGTATTTAGCTGAATATTTAGAGCTGTGCTTATGTGTCTGTGATTTTCTTCCTTTTTTTGAAGAAAAGGATCCAATTTTAAGATGCTCAAAAAAAGCTGGTGCAAACATGGCATCAATTTGAAGCGAAAAACACAACTTGCGTTACGAAAAGACCCAGCTGCCCACAAACTCTAATATCCCACCACAGTGCATATATAAACCTTACCCAGTGACAAAAGCTTATTTAGCCACATGAGGAGGTCTATTCCCTGGTGGAAAACCTGACTTCATGCAGCTTCTTAAATTTCAAAACTATAAACCCCCCCAGGAGCAAATCCACTAGAACCACAAAGAATCATAACACGCCCGCTGTGCTGGATGGAGCACCGACTGTGTATTTGTGTGTGCGAGCCACTGAAGAAGGAAAAAAAAAGCTGCAGTTTAAGTTTGTCTGTGGCGTTATGATGTTGACAGCAAAAGCCCAAAGAGGATGGCCCTCATCCATCGTCGGCCCTCTTTTTGAGAGCGAACCTGGAGCACAGCGGCAAGCACAGAGATCAGACACCCAGAACTCCCAGCTCGGCCCACTGCTCTCAGCTTCATCACGGCTGCAGCCACTGATGCCAAACTGCACCTCCCAGCCCCTCCAACACCCTCAGAGATCTCTATCTCATAGCCACCTTTAGACATAGTTTTTTTTTACTCTTTCATCACTCAAGCTCAGTGCCAGCTATTGGATCTGAATAAAGGAAAGATCATATAGAAAGCTTTCTTATGAATTGATGCTTTATTTGCTTTTCATGAATGAAGCTGGTTACCAATCAGGACAAGATGTGCTCTTGCACTTTAGAGCATCTCCACGTTTATTGGCAGCTTAAATAAAGATGTAAAGATCACCGAAAATTTTGACAAAACATTTAAATGTACACTTACTTCAATGTTTTAAAGAATATCTAAGTAATATCGAGTTTGATGTTTCAGTGAGATATAAATATGAGACAATACAAACCCATTTTGTTTCAGTCACTGACCGCCAGGCTGGATGAGGGCCCATGTTTGCTGTACCTCGACACAGTGAGAACTCCAGCATAAAGGGATAAAGTCCCCATTAAGTCAGGCATACACTGTGTGATTTTTTTTGCCCTTTTCGGGCCGATTCTCGAGTCGTGCAAGAATTTTTTCGATCGGGCAGAGTTGCAGCCTCATTGCCTGTTGTGTAGTAAACAGGGGATAACGAGGGGCGATTAGCCTCTCATGACCACCTCCCGATCAGGATTCGTAAGGTCGGGAGAAAATCAAACATGTCTGAAATTCAGTCGGCCGTCGTAAGATCGCATTAGAGCGTCGGGCAACACAATGTGAGAACATGCATCATGAGCTGTGAACTTTTAAACCCGGCGGTTTCGTCACACAGAGTGAGCTGTAGCTGCGTGCAATGATTGAAAATATTACACAGTGTATGTCCGTGTTTACGAACATTAGGTTTAATCTACATGCTAGCTGGTTATTAGGGAGACCTGCTAGGTAAAAAAATATATATATATTTCTTCCCTACCATTAAACATTTTAGTATAAGAAGTAGAAAAATATGTTTTAAATCTGAAGATAGTTAATTATGTTAACAAAAAGAAAAAAGATACAAGGATAAAGTAGCAGATATGCTACAAGGCTCATCTCCACAAAACAAGGTTATTCCGCCATTGGAATTAGATGTGTTAAATCATGGTCCTGATACACATTAAAAATTATCAGGACAGTGACTCTTAAGGAGAGGATCAAGAGAACATGTGCAATGAGGAGCACTCACTCTCTGTGTGCTACAACTCTGACATGCTCCTAAAATTGTGCAACTGGTCTCAACTTTCAATTCAGTTTTACTTTTAAAAAGATAAGGAAGGATTATTTTCCTCACAGCAGATGTACTGAAATTGAAATGTGTATATCTAAATATTTCAATAAGAGGATATGCTACTGCATTAAAAGAGGAATTTATCCTGAAACTCCTTACACATCCTCACCAGTGGTGTAAACACATTTTATTGCATTTTTAGACTTAGGTTTTTTACTCAATCAATCTTCGCACCATAGGTAGTATATCAACTAGTTTCTCTTGGATGTTCTATTGAATAAATCAATGTTTAAGCTTTTTAGCAGCTGGCCCAGATCTGTTTAACACTTTTTCAACATAAACATTTTAAATTTCTTCTTAAGACACATTTTTCCTCTTCTTTTTTTAAGGTGTAGCAAGAATCTTAAAAAAAAGTTCATGTACAGCAGTATGCTGCTTTTTATTCTGAAAAACCTTTGAGTGGACTGTATGTCTTTTTACTGTACTTTAAAACCTTGAAGGAAGCAGCATTGGTTATTTTACCCAAATACGATGGACACTGACATTCAGTTACATCATTGACACAAGGAACATAACCATTTCCCCAAATAGGGGTTGACAGATAATATAATTCTTGAAAATAGGTTGCAGATTTTCAGGGTATTACATCAGCCTATTCCCTTTAACCAGCCCCAACTGTCTGCTATAAAGCCTAAGGTTCTATCTAAAGACAAAAAGACTTAAAATATCTCCCGCACACCTTAACAAGTCCCCCTTTTATTCTAGTTTGATCACATCAAAAGTACTTTTGTAGGAGTTCAATCCAGATATCCCTGCCCATTTAATCAGCTGCCTGGGAGCCTGCATTGTGTCATGTGGATAATGTCCTCGTCCCTGAGGCGTGCCCCGGAGAGGCCCTTAACACAGAGCCTCTAATCCACTAACCGGGGAACCACACTCTGTTCATTCAGGGGATCTCTTCTTGCACTGCAGGAGTCAACGAGACCAGACATGTTTACTTGGAATTAGCCTAGATTTTAGGGAAAAGGAACAAAAGGGAGAGGTGGAACATGCACAATTAATTCTCTACCAGACAACACCTCCTGCGCTTTGTGGTTCTCCGATACAATAGAGGGCACTGCACCTAAACGGCCCGGATTAGAGCAGAACCCAGGCAGGAGGCGGGCCCTGACAACCTTACTGAGAGGGTTAATTTATAATTAATCTTTTCCTTACTGTGCACAGTTGCTTGTTATTTCATTTAGGTCTATCTCTGTATGAGTGCACTCTATTGTTTGTTTTTGTGTTCTCACCGCATGAGCATTAGCAGTGCAGTGTGTTTCAACTCCTTTAGCATTTTCAGCCTCATTACTTACATAATTTGTTCTGACATGCACTCACAACAACTGAAGCGTGCTGTAATTATGGCTAGCTGTGGTTATGTAGCTCTCTAGGCTGCAGTGACAGTTCCCAGCCATGTGGTGGCAGTGCAGGGCTGCTTCTTTGTCTGTCATACCGAGTTAAGCCGAGCTTCCACCCACCCCGTCCACAACCCACATGCTTTTGGCTATGAGCTCCAGTCTCTGATAGCTTCAGGCTTAGGCTGCTGCCTGATTCCCCCCACCCTACCCCCACAGCAGAACTGTGAGATGCCTTCATCTCTCCCGAAGAAGCGGAGCAGGCTGGGCGCTCGCTCAGGCCTGACAGAGGCTGTGCCACATCAGGTGAAGGCAGAGAGATTTTAGACACAGGGGTGCCAGGCTGGGCAGATTATTCATCCACATGAGCATAGTTTACTAAAGCCCTATCTCCTGCAGGACGGGCCCAAGTGCATCCAGTCTTACCAGCTTATGCTCTTTCATCTGCTGCTGCCACACAAGCCTAGGGATGCTAGGTGCACTCATCAGTAAAATGGACAAGCTGATGGACAACTTATAGTCTAATATAAAAACGATTAGTGTAAATTTACTGTTTTCTTTAGTTAAGAGCTGAACATTTATACAATAATTATTAACAGAAAGAGCTACATGGAGATACATATGGCAGTCCATATCTATTGACAAACTAGGGAGCTAATGGTCTCCTGGCATGAATCAACCAGCTGCTGGCTCACTTGAACTTGACCGCTACAGTGCCGCTGATCCCATTCACCGCACCTGCCTCCCTGCCTGTCGCCTTCCCTGCCAGCCAGCCTTGCCCGCTCTGTTTACAACATCAAAGCCAAGCGCAGTAACACAGGCGGCCATGCTGCTGCTCATCCCAGCAGCACTACCACTCACACCGAAAAGTGCCCTCTCTGCATGCAGGCCACTTCAAAGACACCTGCTGAGATGTCAAGATTGTGTTGAATCACAACCGCAGCACAATCACGGTCTAGCCATGGCCACGAGGGCCATGGAAGCAACCTAACCCAGGCATCCTGGCAGCAAAGCATGGGTGTTGAGAATAAGGAGCTGAGCAGAGAGAGGAGATGGTCATGCAGAATGTTAAGGCTTGTTCTTTGTCAGTGGCTGAGCGGCTCAAGGACACTGACTCACAACATTAGCTGGCCCTCTGAGGGGATGACGTGTCACTCAGTGCACATGTACAAAAGGGGCAGTGAGGCCAACGCATGTTCACCCAGTGCCCTTCACTGTCTTCTTCACAGCCTTTAGACTGAGCCAATGTGTGAACTGTACAGCAGAAAAGAGTCAAACAAGTACACAGTAACTCTGCCACATGTCAGTCTGATATGTCAAAATAAAATAAAAAAATAACTTTTATCTTTTTTCGATCAGAATACCACAAAATGTACAAACAGATTGAAATATTCAGTATGGATGCAGGTATTGAGCAAAGAAAAAAATAAACATAAGCATTTTGAAGAGCCTACTCAGCCTAAGTCTGAGTAGATTTTTTTTAAAGGAATACACATTTTTAAATACACATCAAGACATGGCTGAAACTTATTCTGACTATGAGAGAGAAGCTTTAATTTGATAGTAGAAAATCTGAACAAAGTAAATTTCATTTGTAC